TATTACACAGAAACATACCAAGGGAACATGAATCAAATATGCACTTTTATTCATTTACAATAAACTTATAAAGTACATCATTCTGATTGAAGCTAAGGGCATACAAAACTGTCTAACAATTACCCCTTAAACTGGACACTTATGAGACTCGTGTTATTTTAGAATGTTCTTAGCTGTTGGATAGACTTGGGGAGTTTATCCTACCAAGTCTGACACTATTGTGCTGCCAAAAAGGTTGGGGTAGCCTGTTTTGGCTGCTAGGGTTAGACCCAAAGCACATGTAGTGTATGCCTATTTGAAGCACTAAACCCGAACCAATTTCCTGTTATGCCCTGGACCTTGGAGACTGATGGGAAAAACTGGAAAGTTACACATAACCCATAGACTTGATTATGGTACTACACTGAGTGTCGGATCAGGTTGTCTTTGATATGCCAATCAATAAGATCCATTGTGGGACAAAACCTAGGTATGTTGGGGTAGTCTGAGAATTCACTTTAGTGGGTGATCATAGTGACAGGATCAGCCCCTTTGTCGGATAATGTGAATGATCGGGACTGCACTGTCTCTGATGGAAACCAAAACTATCGGCAGTCGATTTCAACTGTGTTTGAGATTTGTTTTGCAAAATATATTTATATGATATTTATATATTATGTTTTAAGAAAAAGTGTTTGCAAAAGGTTTTAATTCCCAAAACCCATCCAAGTAGAGAGTGCAACACTATACCTTGCAGTCAGGGGAGAAGTCCTTCCCTGTCGGGCAGTGTTTGATCATTACAGGCTGAGAGGTTGAGTGTAAGAGACCATTAAGGGTTGTTTACTTGATGGGCTATATCTTACTTAAGTCCATTATCCTTGGGCCTTCATAGGATGGCTGGACTCGTGGATCATTTAACTGTAAATGTTGGGCCCATTAAGAGTCCATATTGATGGACTCAGGGGTTCACTGCATTGGCAGTGAATTTGGCTAGGCCTTTTCATAGAGGCTGGGCTGAACCCATGTGGGCTTATGTGAGGTCATTGTTGGGGTCCCACACCATACAAATTGAAACTAAATGGACCAGCAACTATCTTGGGATGTGAGCCACTTGCTTAATGGGCCTAAAGCCCATGATTAATGAGATTAATCAATTTGTCACATGACTGCTTAAGTTGTCATGTAACTTAGGTGAATATGGGTTTGGATATGGGTCTGGAACACCCATCTCATAAGAGGATAAGTCTTATCCTTTGATAGAGTCCAAATCCAAATAAAGATTTGGATTAGGAACCTCCTATTTTGATTAGGAGTGGTGCTCCTTAAGGCTTAGGAAAAGAGAGAATTGAACTGCTCCAGATTACACACTCTGCTTTCAGTTCTCTCTCTCTGCTCTTGCTGCCAAAAACCCTAATTCGACCTCCCCTTCTTGGACTGATTTTTTATCAGTTCCTTCTCTAAATTTTGCGAGAAAATTGTAGAGGATTTCCGTGCTCACCTCCCTTGTTCGATCCATACTGTTGGATTGCAGTTTTGCTGAAAACTGCATTGCTGAACCGACTTCATTCAAAGCTGCGCCATCTTCAGTGGAAGCTGGTTTTGAGATTCAGTTTGGACGTGAATTACTACCACTTTGGGAGCTACATCTGTGGATCCCGTATCAAGTATACATCTCCCTCCTTTTGGTTTCAGATCTGGTCCGGTTTCGGTACAAAAACGATCCTTGAAAAATGCAATTTTTCTAAAATAGGGAATACGATTCCCGGAATGTTGAAAGAAAATTTTTGAAATTTCGCCCAACCATCTAGCATGGTTTGGCCATCCATATGATGGATCTCACCTTCCTTCACTTTTCGTGCTTTTCTATCTGCCATTGGTAGTGTTCCCCTTCCCAAGAGTGTTGTAAAGGCCTTACTTGTTCCTGAGTGGACAAATGCAATGAAGGAAGAGATCAATGCTCTTCACAAGAATGGCACATGGGAGTTGGTAGATCTTCCTAAGGGAACGGAGCCTATAGGGTGCAAACGGGTGTACTTTGTAAAACATAAGGCAAATGGTTTTGTGGAAAGGTACAAGGCTCGGCTAGTTGCAAAAGGCTTCACACAGGTGCATGGAGTTGATTATGTCGAAACCTATTCGGGTTCTTCTATCTTTAGTCGCAACTCTTGGCTGGGAGCTTCATCAACTTGACATAAAGAATGCCTTCCTGAATGGTAATTTGGAAGAGGAAGTGTATATGACTCAACCCCCTGGTTTTTGTGCAAAGGGCAATGAACAGAAAGTTTGCAAATTGAAGAAATCTTTGTATGGTCTAAAGCAATCTCCAAGGGCAATGACTCAACCCCCTGGTTTAGCAGGTTTCACCAGGCAGTTCAACAAATGGGTTTTAAGTAGTGCCAAGATGATCACACACTCTTTGTAAAGAGGGAACAAGGAAAAACAACAGCTTTGATTGTCTATGTAGATGATATTGTCATCATTGGAGACTGAGTCTCAGAGATTAAAGAAATTCCTAGCTACACAGTTTGAAGGATCTGGGGCATTTGCGTTACTTCCTTGGAATTGAAGTTGCTCGCTCTCAACAAGGCATCTTCATTTCCCAAAGTACACCCTAGATCTCCTAAAGGCTATAGGGAAGCTAGGGGCTAAACCTGATAACACACCTATGGATGTAAATCATAAACTTGGGGACTACAGTGGTGAGCTCTTGAAAGATCCAAGGCAATACCAAAGACTTGTGGGCAAACTTCTCTATCTATCCATGACCAGGCCTGGCATTGCATATGTTGTGGGTGTCCTTAGTCAGTTCATGCATGCACCCAACCTAGAGGCAGTAGATTGAGTTCTTAGGTACTTGAAGAAATTCCCACGGACAGGTTTACTCTTTAAGAAACTTTGTGCTCAAATGCTAATTGGGTCGGCTCAATGGATGACAGAAAATCCACTAGCGGCTATTGTGCCTTTGTAGGTGGAAACCTTGTGACTTGGAGAAGCAAGAAACAGAGTGTGGTGGCCAGGTCAAGTGCAAAGGCAGAATACAGGGCTATGTCACATGAAGTTGCAGAGTTACTATGGATCAAGAACCTATTGAGTGAATTAGGATTTCCTTTTGATGATCCTATGTTACTCTCTATTGTGACAACAAAGCTGCTATCAATATTGCAGCCAACCCAGTTCTCCATGATAGAACCAAGCATATTGAGGTTGACAAGCATTTCATCAGAGAGAAAATTGAGAAGGGGCAAGTGTGCACTCCCTACATTAGCTCCGAAGAACAGCTTGCATATGTTTTTACTAAGGGATTATGTTCACTGTGGCATTATGATCTTTGTGACATTTGGGGATGATTGACATCTATGCCCCAACTTGAGGGGGAGTGATATAATCTATAATATATGTCACAGAGGGGCTTTTTTTGTCTTTTCCTCTTCTTTTATTATGTACAGTCGCCCTAGTATTTAATCTAAAGCTGGCGACGCCAGCAAGAACTTTTGGCTCTCATTCTTTTCTCTTCTCCTCTTCTCTTCTTCTTCCTTGCTGAAAACATATACTGGCTGTCAATCACCTTTCTCTGTTATGCTTTTATCCCCTAAATCATCAAATCCATTCCTCAGGAAGTGCTTAGTTCAACAAGCAAAGTGGTCAGTAGATTATGCCTCTTCTGTCCTTGGAATGTTCATGGCTGGGATGATTCTGCTAAATGGTACTTTTCTCATTATTTGGGCATTCCACAAGAAGTTAAGTTTTATCCTTTCAAATATATCCACCACCAATGCCAGGATAGAAATAGAAACAAAATAGTAGAGTGGCATTAGAGAAGGCTCTCTTGACAAGAGTTAAATTGCCACCTGATAGGCCATTTCTTCTAGCCTACCAGTTTCCTCCAAATCATTCAACTACCAAAGTCCCAAATTGATTTGGATCTGTAATTTGCCACTAGAGGTACGCTCAGGTACTTGAATGGAAGAGAGCCATACCTGCATCCAAGTGTAACTACTGACTTGTACACCTTTCCAACCATAAGAGTTTCACCCCACTTCAACACTAAAATTTTGAATAGACTTGACCTGTTAGTTGGGACCAACTACCTAGAGGTAAACTATACAGATATATCACCTCCTTCCCTCTTTTATAGTAGGGCGCGCAAGACCTTAGCCTTCTCTTGGTTTGGTGGGAACACAGTGAAGAAGAGAAGGCAAGAATATGTTTGGAGAGTGCTTCAATTTCAAGTTTATGACCATCTAAATCCATAAAGGGATTCTTGTATGAGTCCTTTTTGAAGCCCCTTAGTCACATCGTGATCTGCATATCAAGTATAAATTCTATTTATCAAAATTAAGTATTTCTAGAAATATCACATGATATGATTTATATCACTAGTTTATGTTGTAGCAGAATGAATGGATCGAGGATCTACAGCATTAGATGTACAATATGTTATGGTTGCCAGTAATCCTTTGATTAAACATCATGCAAATCCAAACTCACCAGTTGATTTAACACCTCTTGAATGTGGTCTCGAAATCAAATGGAATAGATGATCTCAATAAGCTACAAAATAAAACCTGTTGGACCATCTTCATGGCTCTCAATATCATCCAAGATCAAGCATTTTAATTGGGTGAGGATCATTTATGACCTGTAACATTTTGAGCAATGCTTGTTCCAAATTTATGTTTTTAACAAATACACTGGTTGGGAGCAAGCAGCAGTCTACTGTCTCCTGACTGGCTCAGATGCAGTCACTTTATGTCATGGTAAGAAGATAGTCATGTAACTCATTGAAAGTTGCCTTACTTTATCCTTAAGGTGGTGTTTCATAACAGCTGAGTGCTGACTAGTCAGAACAAAGAAAACATCTATTTTCTGTTAGTTTCTTTTTGTATTTTGTGTAAACTAATGAAATCATATTTGGTTTGTAATTGTTATCTGTAAGAGTTTGATTATTATTTGGTTTTATTAGTTCTGATTTATATGCATGTTTATAATTGGTATTTAGGTGCAAAAAGATCATTTGTGTATGCAAATTGTGCTCTGTTCTGCCTTGCACTCACTGCAGTAGTGTCTGGAATTGTACCACCATTTACTGAAGATGTTGCTCGAGCTGTGAATGTAAGTTCTTGGTTCTTGTTGGCATTTAAGATGCATGATGCTTTTTGTCTGTCAAATAAAACTAGTTGTCCTGCTTTTGTAGCATCTCCTTCTGTCCAATATGCATTTACTGTTCACTCCGCTAAGTCATTAAAAAAATAAGCAAAAAGTCAAATAAGGTGAGGCATTTTAAAATCTTAATATAATCTCCTGTCTCCATTCTTTTTAGGCAACAAAAAAACAGTTTCTCATCGACTTTCTTTAGCTGCTGCTTTTTTTATTCTTTTTGTATTGGTCTTCAAAATGTGTAGGTGAGCATGGTTAAGATTTAACATCCATCTTTACTTCTTAGTTCTTACCAAGTTGATGCATGTTACAAACACTTCGTTGTTCACAGGTTGTGCATGTTGTGGAAACAACAGGAAGATATGGTGAAAACAGAAGCCCTGTCTCATATATTTCTCTTTTCTCTACAACTCCTGGAAAATTGACAAAAGAGGTTGAATATCTCAAAGAAGAAGGATTTACTTGTGGAAGAGAAAAGACACTCGATTTTGTTACTTTCACTGTCAACTATGGTTGCTGGAGTTCTGAGGATACTGAAAGTGGATGGATGGAATCAGATATTCCAACTCTCAAAGTTGAAAATGACAAGAGGGGCAATAACAGGATCACACAGATTTCAATTGATACAAAAGATTCTACCCGCTGGTCCCTTGCAATCAATACTGAAGAGATTGAAGACTTTATATTTGAAGGTAAGGAATAATTCTAAAAAACTGTTCTGCAATTTGTGTCATATACTTGTTAAGTTTTTAACTTGTCATGCACCTTAGCTTGGCATTTATATGGTAGTATTGGACAGAAATAGGCAGTGTTACCTCTTACAACTTAGTGTTCCCTATGCCTGACATGGCAGAGATAAATGGGATGGAGAAGACAAATTGGTCCATTCCAAAATAGAACCATAAAATCAATTCACATGGTATATGGAACTTTCCTGATGTACCTAGGTCAAACCAAGTCCCATTCTTGCTATTTTTGCATTCATCTAGATTTTTCAGAACATATGAACACATGCTTTAACAGATTCTTGTCTTAATCTTATAGGATAGTTAAGCATTGCCTTCTCTTGCCATTGTGTTTACTAATATATTCATGATAGCCAAAAGCTTGCCACATTTGCATAGAAGAATAAGAAAAACTACTAAAAAAAGAGGAAAAGCCGTATTCAAGGAATGTATAGGTATACTGATCATTATCCATCTTTTCCTCCAATTTATTCTGGACCCCAGGGAATTCAGAGGAGCTGGTTCCAGTAGGCAACAAGAATGGAGTTAATGGATGGCACATCATTCAGTTTTCAGGAGGGAAAATTTCCCCAAGAATGTTCAATGTGACTCTCTTCTGGTTAAACAATTCTACCCGGTTAACTAACAAGTCAGATACAGAGAAAAAGGACCCGTATCTCCTAAAATTAAGAACAGATGTAGACAGATTAACTCCGAAAGCTAAAAGAATACTCATGAAGCTCCCTCCTTGGTGTTCCCTGTTTGGTAAGTCAACTTCTCCTCACACTTTAGCTTTCTTAAGTAAACTCCCTGTTGATTTTTAGGCCCTTTAAAATTTTCTATATTGAAAATGTATGTTTAGAGTTGACAGAACATAAAGAGCCCACGATGTCCTTCACAAGTGATGATCTCAAAATCTCTAATACTGTAAAAGATCGGACTCAGTTTGTCTCTTTCTATTTGATAACGAAAGACATGTGGTTTACTTCATTGCTCTCTCTGTAACACTTAGCTGTAATTACAGTGCATAGAACTCATTGCGAACACAGATTATTGTGTTGCATTTTGATAGGCTAACCGGTAGGAGACTCACTAGGTCAAAAATGTCAAGCTGATCTGATCAGCTTGACAATTCTAAAGCAAAATCATGCATATTGGTGAATGGTTCTGGATCGGCTACAAGCAAGACGTGTGCAATGGGCTAAGTAACCCAGTCATGAGTAAACACGGCATTACTGGTACATCAGAACTATACGGGTGGCCGTTGTGTTTACTCCGGTCCCCATTGGACTATGTTATGTAGCAGATTCGGGGTCTTGACAAACACCCCCAAGTACGTATTCTTTCCTTTCTTTTTCTCTATTGGCAACAATGTTGTGAAAAATCGCACAGTAGCAGCCAGTTGGATCAGGTCAACCTAAACCAGGCACTTCACAAAACCTCAAAAACCAGGGTTTCTTTGTTAGGTTAAACCAGGAAAAGTGGGAGCCATGGCCCTTTCAGTTTAATGACTGGTATGGTTTTTGAAACATTGGTAATTGGTTGAGAGGGATGACGGATGAGATACAGGTGAAGGTTGTGATGATACAACGTGAAAATCCAGCAACTCTTGCCAAGTTTGGACACGGGGCCCAAACTTCTTCAACAGCCCAAAGTGGAGGTTATTTTCTACCACAACTAGAATTGCTAATAATCAAGAAAGATTAAGAGAGTGTTATGCTAAGAGGGAGAAATGTTCTCAGTAGTTCAAATGCACTTCTCAATATTCTGGGTTCTATTTATAGACCATTTTATGACTGTTGGGTTTGTTCCAATGGATAGGAACTACCCACAAATATCTCTAAACAGTTGGGATTAGCCTTCACTGGGATGAGACACTTGACTTGGTTGTGTGTGCATGTTGGTTCACATAGAGCAAATAGTCCATTGATTGTGTGGTTATTCCCGTTGGCCTACAAATAGTCCTATATGTCGAGGATGATATATATTAAGGGCCATAGGCCACTCGGTCCAACAACAGCCTATTTGCTATCATGCGTTAAATGCTATATATCATTATGAGCCTTATTTCTACCAGACACAAATCAGGTGTTTCCGCAAATGCTTCAAACTCTAAACGATTCTGAGGAATCAATTCCTGTTGTAAAAGACCATGGTCACCTGCCTCATCTCACGTAAGTTGGTGGGTAGGTTAGTGATCAGAAGAGAGTCCCTCGTTTGGGGAGACTCGTCAAATTGGAACCAGCATAATAAATAGGTTTATTTGGTTAAAAATAGAATAGAATGAATCGAAAATTTTAAAATCTAAGTTTTAAATGAAAAACCAAAATAACCAAAACCAAAATTTTCCATTATTTTGGTCATAACTGAATTTCATTAATATATTAATTATGTATTATATATTAATATGTACGTATATATTATGTATAAAGAATAAATTTCGGTTTATTTGTTTTTTTCTGTTAATTAAATTTCTAAACCAGAAAATGGAAACCAAAACCAAACCTTTGTAAAACTGAACCAAAAACTGAAATAACTGAACCGAAAAAATCAAAATCAATTTTTTCAGTTCGGTTTTTTGGTTTTAAGCAATCAATGCTCAGCCCTAATATGACACATTTTGAAAACTGGGGGTTTGAAAAGCAAGGTTCTGCTTCAGCTGATGAATTCTTAGTGCATTCTTTTGGAAAAATCTTTCCTTTCCATCTATTCTATCATGGAGGTCTTCAGTTAACAAGTTGAACAACCAAGGTATAATCATATATCGAGATTTGCTCTTCGCACAATCTAGTCGAGTGATCCATCAACAAAGCAGAATTTCACACGCAGAGCATTTATCATTGCTTACTGCCAAGTCTAGTTATCACCATTGAGTAGGGATAAAATGAGTACAGTGCTTGGATTGTCTGAAGGATGCAAGAATTACGGGGAATTTGGATCTGAATCCATTGCAGCAGGCTGCAAAAACAGAAGTGAACGAAACAAGGGAATGAAAGAACAGGGATACCCTGAAAACTGAGAGTTTGAAGGGAAAACTCAGGCAAGAAATTCATTAATAAGATTACAAGTGATGCAGGGTGATTTGGCCCGACCTAGTAATAGGGGAACACGTGGGCACGACCTAACCGACAGGATGACAACTCACTCCGACGCATCAAGTCTGCAACGGACCAAGCTCGAATAACCGAACCACCTCGGGGCAAGTCCACCTCAGGACAAGTTCACATCGGAACACGATCGCATCAAGACCACCTCGGTCCCAAGGCGCTTCGGCATTCGTATCAGGTCGGATCCAAAGGGCACTAGTTTGGGTAATATTGACTGACCTCTGCATGAAAACCCCGAAGATCTCGCCACCAGATTTCACGCTTTACAGGATCACGCCTCATAACAGTTAGCCTTATCTCCCCCGACCGATTCGAGCAGTAGTGATAAGCCTTATCGGCTAGTAGTGTTATCTCCTGTTAACGCGGAAATGGGCCTCATCATAGTAAGGATCCCGAAATCACTCTGAAAAACCCGCGAGGACTCCAGTATATAAAGACCCCAACCCTCCAAGGGCGAAGGTACGCATAATCTCTGCTCACTAATTCTCTTGCTTTCTAAGCTACTATCAACTCACAAATTACTGATTTAAGCATCGGAGCGACCTTGCCGGATAAGAACCCATGAGTTCTCTGATTCCCCTTTTGCATATTAGTCAAGTCCGTCGTCTACTGAAAGCCAAGTCATCACCAGCTAGGAGCAATCAAATTGTGTCGCATCAATAAGCACCCTTTCACAAGATTTATCAATTTGTGTAACTCTTGACCTTCTACAAGAATCTATTCTAACATAACGGCCATGTAACAAACTCGACTCTGTTATTCTAATACACTTTAACGTTGTATTAGTTTTTTATCCTCTCTGATGAGAAATTCATGCTTTGAATCAGTCATGCGAGAAGCCCCTTCGCTGAATCACACTATTCACAAGCCCTGATTCCATTTTTGTACACTTGCTATTCATAATCACCATTACGTGATGAAGATTAGTCGTTGCCTATCATTCCTCCCATGCCACCACCAATGAAAGTATGGAACTAGCGATGTAAATGCTGTAAGTATAGCTTGTAAATCCCTTTCTTTTTTTTCATGGATAATGACGTTAATTGGCTTTGGATGTTTGCAAAGAAAGAAAAAAGGAGAGATGGAGAAAAAAAACAAAGGAGAAATCTAAACCTCAGTAATCTTCTGAGTTTTGAGCCTCTAATAAAGGAAAGGTGGTTCCCGGAGTTTGCAGAACTCAACTGGACTCGATATGGGGCAAATGGCAATCAGTGTAAAGAAAATAATCAATTGTGGTCAAAGTCAAATTGTTATATTGCACTCTCTGGTTCGTTTCAAGATGATTTGCAGAGATCCGGTTTATGTGTACGCTTCTCGAAAGTCGAAACACTTTTTGTGTTCCAAACTTTTTCCCCCGTTTCTGCTTGGGAGTTCAGTAGTGGCCGTTGCGCCTAACCAAGTAACAGTCCGTAGTCTCGGACCTCTGGGTGGCATTTTGGTTTTCTCTTATGCTGAAGTTTCAAAACCTCTTTGTAAGTGGCTCTGGGCTCACACGATCACACTTGGTAAATATTAGACAGACCAATCCCCATTAATCAAGCGGTGTAATTCCATAAGCCGCCTGTCAAACTAGAATCCATCTATACACTGCCATCTCTTGCTATAAACACTAAATAACAATGTTTTTGAACCGTCATCGATTTGGACGATCGGACTGTTTGGACCGGAAACTGTTCAGGTGACTGGTTCCATTTTACTTCAAATCCGTCATTTAGTCAAAAATCATTGAATTAGTCAATGAACCGTTGACCCGGATAGTTTGACCGATAAACTGTTCGACCTGGAGAACGGTTTACTGCTCAGATCTCAGATTGAGAAATAGATTGAGAAATAGATTGAGAAATCTTAGATCTGAGAAATCTTTGAGATTGAGAAATCTCATATCTGAGACTAAGAAATCTCATATCTGTCTTTCTCATACGAGAAGGTGAGAGAGAGAGAGTGAGATCTGAAACTGAAAACGCCGTCATTGTTGCCGCTATAGTTCACCATCGCCGTCACCGTTGCCGCTACAAGCCTGCAAGTCCTCCTCTTCTTCTTCTTCTTCTTCTTCTTCTACTAAGCTCTTTCAGTTCAACCGACAACTTTCAAGTTTCAAGTTTCAACCCTTATTTCCTCCTATATAGTATGCATTAATGCATCTTACCCATTAGTATGCTCAAACCGTTCGAACCGTTTGACCCGGATAGTCAAACTGTTGACCCAAAAACCGATGGCCAGAACGATTCCGTTTCCAAATCAGTTTTTAAAACCTTGCTAAATAATACACTATCATCCATTGCTATGAACATTAAACAATCGGTGACTGGAGAGTCAAGAATTCAAATACAAATAATTAAAAAAAAAATAGAAAGCCGCATTGAAAGGGGGGAAGGAATGACTCCAAATTGAATCAACTGATTCAATCAATCAATGGGGCCTGCAATAGAGGTCTGAATTGAGTGGAATCAAAATCCAATTCCTATTTTAATGGAATGGTATTTCTTCATTTGAGCCCTCTTTCTTTCTTAAAAATAAAATTCCATTTCAACTTATTTCAATTCTCATTCTGATTCTTATGTGAACCAAACAGACTAGATTTTGATTCCCTGATTCCAACTGTAAATCAAATATAGCTGGTATTCTCTTTGGGCGAGTACATTGGGAAATATATAAGACCGGATGACTGGATTCAACTTTACGAGATTGGTTCGGGTAGACGGTCCTGAGCATACCATATCCGGCTCTCTAGGAATCGAATCTTACCAGTGATGAGTTATGAGTGGACTAACATCGCAAAGACGCAAACCATTGTATGCCGTGATAGATACGGTTACTTTTACCCCTTGGGCCTCGACCCAAGATGTGGGATGGGATCATGAGATCGGATCTGCTCTTCACATCTGGCGCTTCGTATTTATTTGTTATTATTCACGAATCACGAGAGATGTTTCCAGTGCATGTGGATGTTCCCCTGAGGCGCCCATTTGTAAAGAGTAGATCCCGTCATTGTAATCATAGCCAATGGGAACATTTATGAGTCATGCTACAGCTAAATGAAATCAGATCTACTTCTCATATATGGCGCCTCACATGCACATCCTATCATGCATTGAGAATATCTATTGTACTTATAAATTATTATTCATGGAGATGTTCCCAATGCATGATGGATGTACATGTGAGGCGCCCAAGTATGAGGAACAGATCCAGTTCCCAGCTAAACGTTAAAGAGACAGGATCTGCTCCTCACAAAGAGGCGCCCAAGTGTGAGAAGCAGATCCAGTTCCCAGCTAAACGTTAAAGAGACGGAATCTGCTCCTCACAAATGGGCGCCTCACATCTCCCGTGAATAATAATTAATTAGTACGGGAGATACTCCCACGGTAGGATGTGCATTTGAGGCGTCCGGTGTGAGGAGATCCGGTCACAATGTTGAATGGTGATCACTAAATCACTAATCACTGTGGTGGTGGATTCGATAGAGCCACCGTGTGCTGGTTAAATCAACTGATCTCTCTAAGTGGGCCCACAACAACAATAGAATTGTCCTTTAGCGGTTGATTAGGGATATCTCAGGTTCAAGCCTCTGATCCAAACAGCACCACGTTCCCTCCCCGCGCTAAGTGAATTGAAGTTCGTTAGCAAGTTAGCAACCGATTCGGTTAGATTTTTTTTCCTTTCTTTTGGCGGAGAGAGAGAGAGCGAGCAGACAGAGATCAGAAATGAGGATAGTACCGCTCGGTATCTCTGCGTCTCCATATCCCACCTCAAACCCAATAACCTATCATACGAAAATCTCTCTCTATCCCAACAAACTCGCCCTCCCACGCAAGCTCACTCGCTCTGGAGATGAATCCTCCCGATCATCCTCTCTCTGCAACTCTCCCAAATCAGGTATGCTAAATTAGGAATCTCATCTATTTCTATTTGTTTCCTCGTTTCTTTAGTTTATTCTTTAAAATAGTTGATAGATGTCTTTCGATCTGATTGCACCAAAAACCCCATCTTCACGCAAAGTTTTCCACTAGAATCGGATTGCGTGGAGGAGGTGATATTGGGGCTTTGCGATCTTCATTTCTTAAATTCTTTAGATCGGATAAAAGTTAAACTGTGGCATCGAACAATTCTGAAAACTATCATGGGTTCGTTTGCTAGGGACAAATTCAGACAGGCGTCCAAATCCTGGTTCTTAACTATTTGGGTCCGTGTATTTTATGGTTAGAGTTGAGGGGGGAAAACAAACTTATGGTCGGTCTGCCTGGCATTCACTCGGGTTCTCTGGTGAATTTACCAATGTTTTGGTGTGTAGGAAGTTGCAGAGCCAGTCAAGCTGTTGAATTATTTTCGAGCGTCTGTCCTGAGATTGTTGTTCGGGAGGCGCGGTTGGAGGATTGTTGGGAAGTAGCTGAGACGCATTGTAGTTCCTTCTTCCCGGACTACTCTTTTCCATTGGATTTAGTACTGAGGGTCGACAGGCTGGTGGCAATGCTATCCGGGTTCTCTATTCCCAGTGGTTGTAGGAGATCGTGTCTGGTTGCTGTTGTTGGTGGCTCAGTTGATGACAGCTTTGCCTTGGGAAGTGAAGAATTCAAAATAGGAGAGTTTGAAGGGAAATTCAGCTTCAACAGGGGATATGTTGCTGGAATATTAACAGTGGATACGGTGGCCGATTTCCTTCCTCGCAAAGGACCACTGCGGCAGAGAAGGTTAGATATTTTAGCAGAGAAGCTTTACCTTGTCAAGTTTCACCTTGTTCAGCAACCTAAGTTGCAAATTGCAACTGAATGTAGAAGAGTTTCCATCTAACTGGTTATAGGCATGCATATTTGCTGTTAACCTTAGTTTTCTCAAGATGATCTTGATTCAAGGTGATTCATCCGTGTCAATGGCAGATGCACACTGCTTCTGCTCATAAATTGGCTTATGTGTCAGTTAACATTTTTTCCGTCAGAAGATTGCGTTCAGATTGGCTACAGCCTCATAATTCTATTAACAATCTCAAGCAAACCTATTTGTAGCTGAAACTTTGATTATGGATGATAAGTTGATTTAAATAGCTGGAAAAAAATGATGACATAAATTGATATATACTGCATCTAATTGGGATGTATGATCAACCAGACAAGATGTGCTTTATGGATTGGAGATAATATATATATATATATATATATATATATATATATATATATATTATATATATATATATATATATATATATATATATATATATATATATATATTAATCTTTGTTGACACAAAACTTTCTCTTATCTTTGTGTTGAATGTTTTTTATGCTGTATGAGAACAACACGTAATTAGGTTTATAGAAAAAGGTTACTTATTCTAAGTTGTTTAGTTGCCTCTGTTTCCGGAATCTTCATGAGACGAGAATTTCATATTCTGAAAAAAAAAATATCTGAATTATCTAGCCATTTCTTTGATAAAAATTATTTGAAAGAAAAACACTGATATTTTAGGATCAGAATTTTTATCAATTATGAAATTAAAATGACAATGAACAAAAAATTTACCCTTTATGATATTTTACTGCAAGAATAGAATGTTTCTCATATTCTTGTAATTCATTATTTGGACTTGCAAAGTGATTGAGATTTTTGCATTAACATACAAGGACTCCAATTCATCCTTAAGGAAACTGGTCTGTAAAATTCTTCTGGCATTCTTGTTCTAGTTTGGACTTTATCAATGTCTTATTGCCTTATTGGACATGTTTTTTGAAATGATGGACATGTCTCCATCATTACCATATGCCTATCCACTCTATCTTGAGCCATGTTATCTGTCAAGGTCTAAGGAAATGGTTTGCAAGTACCAGTATAAAACAAGAAAGAAATAATTTAAGTATATAAATTTGTTGCAAGAGGATAGGAAAAGGAAAAATACATTATAAGGTAGAAACCGTAGAATACCAATCTGAAATTATTAAAATGATGTCAAGTGGGTCAATGCTTAACAGAACTGACATTACACAGATTCTTGGTGAATTCACTTTCTTTTCTTCCTTCTTGGTGCTATTGTCCACACATTGGCAGTAAATAGGTTTTCTTAGTGAAGTTGAAGTCAAATGGATCAATAGATTAGTACAAGGCCCATATTGGTGGCAGAAGGCTTTTAACCAGAACAAGGGGTTTATTATGAGGAGACGTTTACTCTTGTTGCTTAGATGACAATTATGAGATTTGTTCTAGCAATTGGATACACATTGATGATAAGTTCATGGTGTATAAACTCAAGAAATCCCTATATGGGTTGAAAAGAAGGTTCCCAAGGTATGGTTTGAACACTTAAAAGATGTCATTACACAAGCTAACCATGTCCAATGTTGTTCTAGCTATTGCCCTCACATGTATTTCTCCTATTGTATGTGGATGATAGATATACTTATAACAAGACATGGCCCTCAAAAGGTATTTGACAACTCAAAACTCCCAAATCCTTTAAGATGAAGGATTTAGGTTCTCTGACTTGATTTCTTGGCTTGGAGCTGCATTCTTCTCCTTGAGGTACATGGTGAATGAGTAGAAATACACTAAAGATCCTATCAAACTGGAAATTTTCTGTGATAATAAGCAAGTCAATACTCCTTTACAATTGAACATCAAGTTCTCAAAAGATGATAGTACTCCACTCCTTGATCTGGTTCCTTATCGATCATTGGTGGGAAGATTTATCTACCTCACCATGACTCAGCTTGATATTGCCCATGTTGATCAAGCTATTAGCTAGTTGGTCTCATCACCTTGTCAATCACATCTCATTGTTGTCTAGCACATTATTCATTATCTATGAAGGGCATCCTCCAAGGGATTATTCTTTTTCTTCATCCTCGCCTCCTAGGTCCTTTTGCTATCTATTTAAACTCTTTTCTTTTTCTTCAGGTTGATATTATGCCACCTATACCACTTTATTTATGTATTTATTTATTGATAGTAAAAAGAAAATTTTATTAAAACAGAAGAAAAGATACATTCTGAGGGGGTGTCAAGGTAACACCATGGAACAAACCTAAACAACAATCCAAACTTCTAAATCCAGTGCGATCCAAAATCCTCATCCACAATCAAAGCTATTATCTTGAAAAGCAAACTGAAAAGACCAATGTCCATATTGCTACTGACTTGCCACTGAATGCTACCACTTCTCAATGGATCAGTGCAAATTCACAAACAACCTTCTTCTCCTTCTTTCCAACTAATCCATCATCTAGCAAAGGTGAAGCAACTCCACAAAATCTTGACCAACCAACTTCCTCTTTGCAAAGGCCAAGAGGAAAATAATTCTGCAGTGACTTCACCACTCTCCACTGCTAAAACCCCGAACTTCAAGTTTTAATCTCGCTACAAAGTTCTCTATCTTTGACTCCTGTATCACCCCCACCTCTGATTTAATGTTTCTAACTACACTCCTCACCACAGCCCTTCAACTAACCCTCCTAGCCCCCTTATAACCAGCTCAGAAACTTCACCTCCGACCCTTGATCTCTTCGCCCCACTCAACTCCTTTTGAACACTAAAACCCCCCATTCTTCCCCCTCAAAAATTTCTTGCACTTCTCCCTCATCCCAAATTTCACCACCCTCAATTATTTTCTTTTTATTTTTTTCCTCTCTTCTTTTCAAAATGTTCAAAGGCTTTCCTTGCAGAGCCTTCACCTCCCCAAAAGATTAAACCAAGTGCTTTTCCCACTGCCACCTCCCCTCTCCACTAACTTACCAATTTCCACCTCTCCAAAATTGGAATTTGCAATTTCTAAGGCCCCTTCACCACCCTTCCCCTTTGTCTCTTTTTTATCCCCCTTTCAACCTCGCCAATCTCCGCCTCTTCTTCTGCCCCTACAGACAAATTCAGCGAGAGTCTACTCTTTTCTCTATTATACACTCTGTTATGAAGATTATACCCTTTCGTCCCATCAGAACTCTTCCCCTTTGCTTGAACTTTCCTCACCTCCCCCTGCTCCTCCCACGTCACTTTCTTACTAGACTCATCCCAAACCTCAGTACGAGGCATAGGAACTGGACTTACCTCATTACTAAGAAGACCAGCCTCAGCGATGCTGCTTATGTCACCCGACCCATTCTCTGAATCAACCTCCTCAACTATCTTTGTCACAATCTCCACCCCACTCGCCAAGACTCCATTGAGAGAACTTTTGGAGTGTTGAACATGCAAAGGCTGTACCACAGAGATGAGCTTGCCCCCAATCATACCGCCAACCTCCTGCAACTGAACCTGCTGCCTAACTCCCCGTAAACCAGCCTCATCATTTTCACCAGCAATGTCTTCCACCTGATTGCACCCTGCACCGTGTTCACCTTTTCTTTTCTCCCCTTTATTCAGCACTGCCTTCTTCTTCCTACCTTTCCCGTACCTTGGAACAACCCAAACCCACTAATCAAATCCTTTACCCCAAAAGATTTTTTTCCTCCCCTCCTCCTATCTTACCCCTCCTAGCCTCCTTAAAGACTTCAACTCCTTCCACCAGTTTTTTACTTTCAAAACTTTTGTTTTTTCTTCTTGAAGTGGTCCCCACTTAGGCCTCTCGACTCCCTAGTACCCACTACTGCTTGTTCCCCTTCTATCTAAATCTTCTCATTCCATTTTTGGTCTTCCGCTCTCACATCGCCCTCACCCCCCATGTGTCCCTCTCAATGTAAATCCAACTCAAAATTTTCCTCTGAACTCCCTACTTTACCCTTCAAACATGCCACCTCATCGTCATCCACCTTCGATCGACTCTTCATCTCCCTACCCTTCTCCATTCTGCAATTCTGGTTCTTCTCAATATTTTCTCCCCCTAGCTTATCCAAATCAACCTTTCCACCATGCTTTTTCATGTCTGCCCTCAAGAAAGTCCTGTGCTCCCCTTTTAAAATTAATCTCAACTCATAGCTCTTCCCAGCAAACTGAAGTTCCATCTTGTTTGGTAGACCAGAAACCTCCTCCACTTCCACAAATATATTGTAGCCATGTCCAACCTTTCCGAAGTTCTATTCCTATCATCATATTTTAGGAACTTCCTGTAACGATCCCCAATTTCCTTAAAGTTAAAGGTTAGTATACTCCACGCGTGAAGGGGGATACCAATCACTCCTAACCACACCGCCCTTCTTCTTCTTGCTTCTCTAATTACCCCTGCTGTTGGAAACCACCAACTTAATCGAAGGTCATATTCTCTCACCGTTGAGCTCTCTTACTCCAGAATCCTCTCTGCTCCTCTACTATAGAACATAAACAGGAATAGCCCACTGTTTAACTTCCTCACACCCATCAGACAATCCCTCCCCCAATCAAAAGACACCCACACTTCAACCTTCACTTCAGGATCTGTCCCCACGAAACCTCCCTACTAGGCTAGCCTGCAACACCTGCATCCTCCTCCATTTTCCCAACTCCCACATTGAACACACGCCACCACCACCCACATCCTCAATGCTCCTAGTGCCATTCAAATTGCATCTAATCATATTTTAAACGAGTGCATCAAGTACATTGAGGTGGATTGTCACTTGATCCACAACCAATACCTTGTTGGTTGATCCACACCCTTTCTACCAGTGGCTCACCAAGAAACCTTCAATCTAAAGCTTGAAGATTGGTCGGGTTATCAGTATATAAAGCAGGTACAAGCTTGAGGTTACTAAGACAACTGACCGGTTGAAAGAGATTCTTTACTTGGTTATTATAATATTATAATAACAAAAGCTGTCCTTTGTTGACCGGTTGAAAGATTCCATTCTGCAGAGCCTGATGTATGAGAGGGCTTATTGCCAAGTTGAGGGACTGAAGATAAAAGCTGTCCTTTGGCCATGTTACACTCTGAGTTCATGTCACTGTTACATATAACAATTTTTCCACAAAAATGACAGCCTATATTTTACTTCATTCTTCTTTTCTCTCTCCATATCAGGTCTCTTTCTAACGTGTGTAATCAACATATCCTGTCAGGACTGGGATAGCATACATATCCAATGTTGCAGTTCGTGAGAGGGATAGGCGCAAGGGAATAGCCAAGAGACTCATAGCAAAGGCAGAAGCCCAAGCAAGGAGTTGGGGATGCCGTGCCATTGCATTGCACTGCGACGTAAACAATCCTGCAGCCACACAGCTGTACAAAGGCCAGGGCTTCAAATGCATCAAGGTCCCAGACAAGGCAAACTGGCCTCAACCTAAGACCTCTCCAAATATACAGTTCAGTTTCATGATGAAGCTCCTTACCACACCAATCCCTATTTGATTCCTTCTGGATATAAGAATCCTTAAAGGAAGAATTTGGAGTGGGGGAAGGAAAAAAAAAAAAGAAATGTTGACTCTGTAAATATGTAAACAAATAGATATTTTGATGCGACTCTCAAGGAACTGTATTTATTGCATGTGTAATATTCATTTCTTGCAGCAAATGTTGCATGCTGAACGCTCTTTTTGCTGGCTCAGTTTGGAAGGAGTACAAATACAAATATGTAGTGTAAAATTTTGTATTGTATATTATTTTATATGTATTTGCACAGTACATATTTGCATTTATATTCCTTCCAAACTAAACATGAATAACAAAAAAAAGAACGCTCTTTTCGCTTTCTCACCTGTATTTCTCATCTGATTTACAATTCAGTGAGGACCTTCTGAATCAAACATAATTTGCAACTTTTAGTTGCTACTTGTACGGCCCTACACAGTTCTTTCCATAATTTTGTGTTTGTGCACGTGCACATGTGCACACATATAAATAAACTATCAGGGTCTCAGTAGTCACAGATTCCAGAAATCAACCCAGCCACATCCCGAGAGATATTTTTCGTGATATTTGTTGATATGGTTTAGAGTAGAATGCGGTTGAGATAATTGTATCTCAAACCTCAGCAACGTGTATAACGCAATTTTTTTCTTCACAACATTGATTCTTTTTATGGCGGACTAGAAATCGTTCAGACGACCGGTTCCGTTTTATTTCAAATCCGGCATTTAGTCAAAAACCATTGAATTAATTAATAAACCGTTGACCCAAACGGTTTGACCGATAAACCGTTCGACCCAAAGAACAATTTGCTGCTCAGATCTCAGATTGAGAAATAGATTGAGAAATCTCAGATCTTTCTTTCTCGCACAAGGTGAAAGAGAGAGATCTGAGACTGAAAACGCCACCGCTGTTGCCGCTGTAGTTCAACATTGCCGTCACTGTCATCATCGCCGCTGCAAGCCTGCAAGTCCTCTTCTTCTTTTTCTAAACTCTTTCAGTTCAACCGACAGCTTTCAAGTTTCAAATTTCAACCCTTATTTCCTCTTATATAGTATACATTTGCATCTTACCCTAATATTTCAATCTAATGGATAAGATGCTCAAACCATTCGAACCATTTGACCCAAACGGTCGAACCACTGACCCAAATACCAATGGCCAGGTCAGTTTTTAAAACCTTGCTTTTTTTTAATCAACATCAACTCTTCTTTGGTATATGCACTTTTTATGCCATCGCATTGATCACTTGGGTTTCTTGGAAGTCCTTATTGTTTCATACTTTTATTGTTCATGAGTTATCTGCGCGTCCTCTCACTAGACCCATACGAGAGCCACTGGACTGGGCCTCCTAAATCTCATGGATTATATCGAGACCCTGCAATCAAATGATGGTCCTCATACTTGGGCATATTTTTATTAGTGTCAGAATACTTGGGCTTAGTGCCCTGCATGTTTAATGTGAAGGCTGATATGTCCCTCCCAAGTCCCAACTATGAGTTCTACTCCAACGACTTTACCCATTTATAAAAAAAAAAAACAAAATCCAACTACTGTACACTTGGGACAATTTCGTCAGTACAATAATCAAAAGCAATTACGGTCCTGCGTACTAAGTTCTGAAATGAAAACCGGAGTGCCCGACTTTTCGTCGAGGCTCTTGAGGGGAGCCGGGGAGAGAATCAGCAGTATACCACGTTAAAAATATCCCAAACATGAAACAAATAATCCCTCTTTCCGAACAACAAATAATCCCAGTTACATTCCTTGGTTACCTTAAAAATATATTCAGCAATGTTACCCGTACTTTATCCTGAAAATATATTCCTTCTTAGCCTGTAATTTATATGTTAGTATGTAGTAAAAATATTTCTTAACGGTCACCACGAACCACCTGATCTCTACCTGCTCTCAGCTAACAGAATCAAGAGGGCAAATACCAGTAAAATATACAAAAAAAAAATGCCATTTCTGAACCTAGAAAGACTGATTCAACATGAACCATGTGGTCTAATAGATGGCATCGATCCCTGTTGATACACTCCGTTATACTTCTTAGGGTGTTGAGAAAAGTAACCCATTTTGTACCGTTCAGTCCCCCCATCACGCACATAAACAATGTCTTTCCCCACACCCCACCCTCAGTCCACCTCAAATATTTGCACTACAAATATGATTTTTATTACTATTTTTCTTTATCATACACAGCAGGCTAACATGAAAAAAACCTCAGGATTCAAAAAAAACATTTCAATGTGGTCATCCAAACTAGAGTCCTAAAGACTTCCCTCAATCCCTGAAGCAACCTGACATTGGCAAGGACCTGACAAGTAACCATCCAAAAAAGGACAGCTATTACCAGATCAGGTTACAAGCCAAGAGCTGATAGGCTAGCTTCTTGTAAAGCTCTCAACTTTACGATGCATGGACAAATTTGCATAATGCAGACATGTCCAAAGCGGGGAACTCTTTAACAGCGGCAAGCACAGAAAGCCCAAGCTTCACAGCATCCTCATTGCTTGGTGCCTGCAGTGAGTGCTATCATTGATCAATGGAGACATGCAGCAGGCACTAGCATCTTATAGAGATAAGCAGTAGTAAACGGCAAGTTTTGTTGAGTGACAAGTTTTGTGGTCAAAGCTTTTGCACCTTCAAAGTTACTAATTTCACTAATATAAGACAGGCTTAAAAGTAACAAATTAACAATCCAGGAAGGTGTTATTTACCTCGATGTTGAGAGGCAGAACAGGATCGTGGAGAGAAAGTCTTAGAAGGAACCACCCACCATAGCCAGAGACTCGAACCTGTTTACAGGAGGGATAGCATGGAGAAATACACATATTTGTAGCTTTCGACTCAGAAAGAAACCAAATTTTCATTATCTAATCACCCTTTTTTGGTGATGGTTTCAATAGACGGGGCAACTTCAGCTGATTTCTGTAACCGTACATTAACAGAAGTCAAAGATACACCAATACACGTATAGGATTTTCCTAGGTCTCAGAGAGAACGAAAATTCATCCTTCTAACTCAGAATTCCAAATTGATAGTTGGAAAGTTGCAAAAGAAAACAGCTCAGTCAATGTCCAAGTCTAATTCTGCTTGCCCCATGTTTCTCTTTTGTGGTTCCAACATATGAGATGATTAATATACTCAACAACCATAGAAAGTTAAAGAGAGAGAGAGAGATTCTCTCCTGCCGAAACAGGATTCATGTAGTCAAACCCAGGGGCGGAGCCAGGGGGTGGCAGAGGGGGGCCATGCCCCCCCCCCCCCCATGCCTTGAAAATCCCTACAATACCCATTTTAATTAATTTTACCTATATTTACTAACTTTTGACCCCCCCCCTATCCATGTTTATTACATTTTGGCCCCCCTCAAAAGAAAATCCTAGCTCGGCCCCTGAGTCAAACCCATATAGTTGGGCAAGGCTTGGATGATGAATTCTCTCCCACCATGTTATAGGACTAAGAATTTACCCCAAGGTATGGCATTTGCAGCTCTGGAAGGTATCCAAAAAAGCTAGGAATCTGAACATCAGGAGGTTGATCCTTGAAGGTGATTCAGAACTCAGAAGTGGTGATTAGATGGATAAAGGAAGACAACAGCAGCATGTGGAGGTTTAGCGATGAAAGGAAGAAATTCAAATGGCTTACTAGGGGTATTGAGGTGAAGTACAGCTGGGTGAAAAGGAGTACCAACTCACTTGCTGATGATCTAGCCAAACAAAGAGCGAATAGGGATTCTTTATTTTGGGCTAATTTCCAAGTTTTTCTTGTAATCTATTGGTGGGGAGATAGGACATTTTATCTCCCCCTTTCTTGTACTTATATTTCTCTTATTTAATAAAAGTTCAGTTACTGAAAAAAATGGAAAAGCCGTTTTTTCTAGACAGATAACATTAAGAATAATGGTAAAAATGCAGTCATCATTTGACAGAACTCAAGAATCTTCCTTCTTTAATCTAGCCATATACAATTTGGCAAAGACTGATAAACTTACGCCTTCATAGTTAACAGGGGCTTTCTGAAGCTTTGGGTCTGAGTTTGTCATGTTCTCTAAATGCTTAAGCACTGCCTCTCCATAATCCCGGAAAGATCTGAAAGCAGAGAATCATTATTTTATCCACCACTTATTTATTCAAGAATAAACCGTAAGCTGATCATCCATCATACCCTCCTTTCATATCCACATGATTCTGATCAATCTTCAACCGCAGTTCAACTGCAACAGCTGGCTCCTCCAGACCCTCCACCAGATCAGTCAGAACTTTGCTGCCACCACTTGTTCCAAGAGCTCTGGCCGAAGCAAGTTTATTTAATAGTTTTACCTGCAAGTAACACAATAAGGGGAAGGAAAGAAAGCAAACAGGAAAAGGTATTCAGTTAGAAATATGGACTAAATAACCATGTGTTTCTTTCACCCATTAATGGAAACCAATCTACCAAGTGAAACAACCTCCCAAAGGATAAAAGCAACTAAAGCTTACCATAAGAAATGCACCATCATCAAGCCAGTGATTCTCCTTGAGAGCTCCATGGCCACTGGTTTCAATTGCTAGGTGTGATTCCTCACCAACCGAGTTCTGCCAGCATTATTTTTGCTTCAGTTAGGAACATTTCTGTAGGAATAATTTGTAGCCTCTGGGGGAGGGAAGGAATAGATCACTTGAATTGAAGATGGTAGGCAATCTAAGCACTAAAGCATTGCCATAAACAAGGAACTAGTAGGGCCCCATGCAATGAACAGGATTTGTTAAGTAAAACTGAAACAGGAGGAGCCCTCTAATGTGCTTTAGCTTTTCATGTTCAGATGGAGAATATTAACTTATTTCAAGAGACCCTAATTGGTGATTCATAGCTTTCTTGTCAAAAATTAAAATTAATTACACTTAGTTGTCAAACATGAATAACCATGGGAAAGTAAAAGTCCTATTGTTTCCTCTGAACAATTTACATAACATAAATAAATAATTTAATTTACATTAATTACTTTTACTCTGAGCTTAAAGTCAAGTTAGTGTAAATACTAAAGCTTAAGTTAACTTTAATGTAATTATTTTCCTATTTTACTTATTTTAACTTGACCTATTTAGATTAATTTTAATTTCCCAAGTTATAAGTTAAATACTAGCATACTTGTTTTAACAATACACCTTATCATATATTAATTGTAACTTAATTTATATTAATTTATTTGCTATTAATATTAAATTAAATTACTATTATTAATAATTAAGAATAGTCAGTTTTATTGAATTAATTAATTAATTACTATATCATATTTTAGTAATTAATTAGTTATTATATTATTATTACTAATTAATATTAAAAATTTAACTTAGATATTACTATTTTAATACATCTAAACAAAAATTATGATTTAATTCTCATAAACTAGCCTAAATCAAGCCAAACTGAATCTGGTTTAGTGTACAAAGGCTGTTTGTGAAGAGATCATCATGGTATATTAACGTGCATCTCGGTTAACCTTCAGTATGTCACTTCATCATTGCTTGACATGTCTATCAAGAGTATAAGAAGGTTAAAGTGTTACACATTGAGGTTCATGCCTCCAAGTTAACTGTAGCAATTGCCCTTCTATTGCTATGGCTATGTGGGCAATGTTTAATAGGAAGGTTTAATAAGGTTAAGACAGGTTCCACAAAGGCAAAAGGCTCAATTTTATGTCGTTGAGTCCATCTACAGGAAGCTTCAAATAATAGCACCATATAAGCACCCTAACTATTTTAGCTTGTTTTCCCAATCCTTTCAAGTGTGCATCATCGTTTACAGTTTTACACACTGTATAGTGTATACAGAGCCAAAAGGCCCAAAACCTCCATTACCAAAGAGTATGTAGGATTAGAAACTCTGACATACACTAAAAAAGAACTTATTGGTATCAGGAAAGATGATTGTGCAGTGACTTTGATCCAGCCTTGTTTAAAAAAGCTGTCAAAGACTCGGAGAGAGAGAGAGAGAGAGAGAGGTCAGTGAAGTGACCATGCAGTCCATGCTATCACGGAGAACCAACTATATTTGACTTTTTTTTTCTGAGAATTAAGTTCCTACGTAAATATAAATCACCTTTATCTAATATAAAAAGCAAGATAGCAAGCAAGTAAGAATCATGAAACAGTGAAATAACACAAAGATTGAATAAAATGCAATTTCAAATCTTATAATTAAGATAGTGGCAATGTAATAGATCAAATCACATTTGCAAAAAATATATATATCACTAAATTAGTAAGTTATACTAAACAAAAATTAAATAAATTATAGGGCAAGCAATCTATGTGGAGTGGTTATTACTCCTGTTTTTGTTCTATCTAGCACCAAATTCTCTAACTGTATGTCTTCTTTCATCGAGAATAAGATCATGAGAATTATATTGCAACCTAGGTTGAAGGTTTTATGACTCTCAAAGATGTGGAGTAAGCAGTGGTGCTCTCCCGACCACCAACAAAATCTACACAGGCTGTACTTCTTCCATCATCCCTCAGGACTTCCTTACCATTCTTGGATTTGGTGGGTTTGATACCGAAGCCAAGAACCAAAGAACCTCATTGAAGAAACCAGCTGCATCCTCACTGAGATCTGATTTGACCATGACCCTACCCAACCTCCAATCCACCCAACAACCATCATCACCACAAAAAGAAAACGCATGCATGATATACCCACTTGTGTGTGTGTGTGTGTGTTGTGAGAGAGAGAGAGAGAGAGATCAGAGCAATTTAGGGAGACCATCTTTTTTGATAAATGAGGTACTCTCCCTAGTTGAATGAACAAAAAATAAATAATTGTTTATTCAGAAATCAAATCAGAAAAGTCCGTAAGAAACAATCTGCAGCTCATGCACATGTAACTGAATATATGTGACATAAAGTCAAGTCTCACTAAGCGGATTGCTTCATCAATGACATTTTTGTACCCTCTTTTGAAGCGGTGGTGCTTCCCTCCTACAAAACATTAAAAGTTATGAGCACAAGATCCATCAAGAATTCGGAATAGTATGACATATATTTCAGTTTCTTACCAAGTTTCTTCTCAATGAATGAGGTTAACCCATCTGAAGTCACACTGTCTGTGACAATAGTTGTTCCTGGATGCTACTTGTGAGAATACAACAGAAAAAGATAAAGCTATCATTTGAACAGGGCAAGAAAGTACTTGAAAATCCATTGCCACTAAAAGACAGTTACATAAAAGAAACCTTACTTCCTCAAGAACAATTGCAGACATTAAAGCAATCAAACGGTTGCGATTGAACTCATGGCCCATAGAATCCACAGCTGCAGATCTGGAAGAAAATTTTATTCAGAACACTGATAATACATGTTAGACAAATGTGCAAGTATCAGAAACATCACCTGTCAACATCTGTATCAAAGATTATTCCCAAGTCTGCGTTGTTATCAAGAACTGCCCGAGTAATAGCTTTCATCGCTGCTTTATCTTCTGGGTTAGGTATATGATTTGGAAAGAGACCTGATACCAGAACAATGTTTTCAATATGGAGTATCAAAAACAACCTCAAAAAGTTTTGCAAAGTTCAAGACTAAGAAATTACCATCTGGCTCCAAGAACTGACTGCCAGAAGTGATAGCCCCTAGAGGTTCAAGCACCTTCCCCTGTCAAACCATTGAGAAGAGCAACACCCAAGTTTTTTTTTTTTTATCAATAAGAGCAACACCGAAGTTTAGGAATAGTAACTGATTCTAATAACTTTTCTGTTTAAGAATATTGAATTTTTGCACCTCTAAGCATAAGAGGAATAAATGATTGACAGAAAATTCACAGGCAGTAGTTAAATCCATACATCTAATTTATCTGCTATATAAGAGGATACAGAAGATATAACATATTGTAGATTAAGGGCAACCCAGTGCACGAGGCTCCCGCCAATGCGGGGTCTGGGGAGGGACATATGTACACAGCCTTACCCCTGCACATATAGAGAGGCTGTTTCCAAGATTTCAACCCTGGTCACCCAGGTCACAAGATTCCAAGATTTCAACCCAACCATTGTGCCAAGGCCCACCCTTTTTTTTATGATCAATAACAATAACTTTTCATTAAGAATTAAGCTTTAAATACAAAGGAGGAGAAATAAACTATCTTAACTCCCCAGGGATGCCAAAGCCACCCCAAAAAGAAAGTAAAAAACAGTAACAAATAAACCCAGAATACAGACTCCCTATTCACCCCTTGTCTAGCTAACACATCGGCAAAGGAATTAGCACTTCTCTTTACCCAAGTACATTTTACACCAATATCCTTTGTCAGCCACTTTAACTTTCTCTTTTCATTGCTGTAATTCTAGAGCCCATTCTTGTCTTCCTTTAATCAGCCCACTACTATCTCAGAATCTCCTATGACCAGCTTAATGATATTCAGGTCTTTAGCTCTTTTTACCCCTTCCAAAGACGCCGGTAACTTAGCCCTAAGAGAGTCACCTACTCCAATTGGGCCTGAAAACAAAGCTATTTACATTCCCTTGCTCATTCCTTAGTACTTCTCCAATGCCAGAGGGCCCTGGATTTCCACTACCAACGAAATTCAGCTTGATAAAGCCACTAGGGGGAGGACTCCAAATTGGACTTGAGGTCTTCTTAGATGGGACTGAACTCGCAATCTCTTTCCAGTTTCTTAGCAAATCATCCACTGAAAAATCTGTGAACAGATCCAAAGATTTCAGCCAGTGTACCACCCTTAATGTAGATCACTTCTAGCACATTTTCTAAGATTCTCTCCTTGGCCCACCCTCATAAAACATAATTTTAGATTGTATGATCTAAATAATTTGGTGAAAGGTGAATATAATAGGTTCAACAAGCTAAGTGTAAGATTCAGATCATGCAACAGCAAGGGAGAAGAACCCAATAACCAATTCCTGTAGCTTTATAAAATTACCATTCACCAAGTAGAGATTTGAGCATTCAATTTTTCAAGCCAGTAAATGCAGACTATTTGGCTCTGAGTACTCCATCTCCTGACCTAGCATTTTCAGTTACCTTACAATCTGGCAAAGGAGAAAGATACCCAGTCACCTTTATTGCCTGTAGTGTCCTCTCTGATTTAAACTGCCAATGTGATTGATGGGTTCAAAATCAATTTGGTGTTTCTATAGAAATGTTTCGTTCTGACAATATGAAAGAATATTTTCAAGGACCCTTTCTATCTTTTCCTTAATTCTTGCAGTATTATTCATCAGCCTTCCTGTTCCCATACCCCATAACAAAATAGTGTTGCTGAATGGAAGAATAGAAACTTGCTTGATACAACACAGGCCCTCTTTATTCAGCTGTCCATTCCTAAAATTTATTGGAGTAGTGCTGTACTTAAATCTTGTTTTCTTATTAATTGTACACCTTCTCCTATCCTTAATGGTGAATCTCCTTTTTTACTCCCCTCTTTCCTTCCATGTCTTTGTTTCCTCTTCCTCCACATATTTTTTGGTGTGTTTGCTTTGTCCATAGACTTGGCCCTAAGGTGGATAAGCTTGATTCTCATGCTTTCAAGTGTGCCTTTCTAGTTTCTAGGATCTCAAACCAAAAAAGGTTATAAATGTTATTGCCCCACTCTCCACTGGTCCTCTATTGTTCCAAATGTTTCATTCTTTAAAAATGTTCCTTTCTTCTCTGCTGTTGAGTCTCCTTCTTCTCCTCCACTTCTTCCTATTCCTACTACAGAGGTTTCCCTACCAATTCCTACTGTTGAGACACTCACATAGCCACTAATTCATAAAGCGTACATGAAGAAACCATGTGGAGTAGTGTTTCGTACAATTCCAGCCTCTGTTCTTTTTTTATCAGCAAAAAGATTGTTTCATTAATTAAAATATGTGGAGTTAATTACAGACTGATGACCCAATAGTCATCCCCAAGGATTACAACCCAAGTTACAAGGCCCAACATAGTTGCTGCCTTGCAGCCCCTTGTTTGGCTAAAGTATCTGCTAACCCATTTGCACTCCTCCTGATCCACCTAAAATCAGCATTTATATCCTTTGCTAATCTCTCCACTTCTCTGAAGATATGCTTGAGGGTCCATTGAACATGTCTATTACATTTTGCCCAAGAGATTACAACTTTTGAGTCCCCCTCCACTTCCACCTGACGAAAACCCAATTGCTTTGCCAATTGGAGGCCCTGTAATAATGCCGATAACTCAGCCTTTGTTGAGTTTGTAATACCAATTGGCCCTAAATATAGAGCCAATATCTTGCATTCTTCATTTCTGATTGCTCCCCCAATTCCTGCCACTCCTAGGTTGTCCATAGAGCGAGCTTCCATCAAAATTCAGTTTCACTTTGTTTACCTCTGGTAGTTTCCACTTGACTCTTATAGTTTCCTTGCCCCTAGAGGACTGTGCTATCTCTTTCTATGCCCTTTGGATGTCAGTTACAAAGAAAACTTGAAAACTGTCCAAGGTTTTTATGCACAAAGCGACCCTCAGTTTTATGTTGTCAATGACCTCTTCCAAAGTTCTAGATTTTCCAGCAAAAGTTCTATTATTTCTTTCCTCCCATACTCCCCAAGCAATAGCCGCTTTGGTAACTTTCCACATAATTCTCCCTCTCTTCTTTGGTTGCCTCAAGAAGTTAAGATTGAAAATGTCTGTCACTCTTGGGGAGGGTCCCATCTGCAACGAGAGAACAGAAAAATTCCTAAGTACGATGTACAAATGAGCAAGAGATCAGTAAGTGGGATTCCTACAAAGAAAATACACGAGGACAGAGGCAAGTGGAAGGCCTCCTTTTCTGCAGCAAGTCGCAAGTATTTACTTTACCAAGGAAAAGGGTCCAGCAAAAAGCTTGGATTTTTGGTGGGGTAGGTTTGCTCCAAATTTCTTTCACCGGGAGAGCCACCTCTTGGGGTCTAGCAAAAGCAAGATGACTGAAAAAAGAGGAGCAAGAGAAGAACCAATCTGAGGAGATTACCCAGAATCTAGAATCCTCCAAATTGGGGTCTAAGTAAACTGATTGCAAGGTTCCAACTTCCAAGGAGATCAGTCGACAAGATACACTCTCTATCCCTAAGGCCTCTTCTGAAACCAAGGTTCCAGACTTCCAGTTGATACCTTAATGGGAAGCCACACCCAAATTAGAAATGGTTTCATTCTTGAAGTTGGAAAAGGTATAAAGGTCAGGGAATTGATCTTTAAGTGGTGATTCCCCAACCCAAAGGTCTTCCCAAAAACGGATTCTATTCCACTTTGCCACATCAAAACGGATGGAACTAGAGAATGCAGGGTAGGCTTCGTGAATAGCTTTCTAAGGAGAGGCTGAAGTGGAGTGATGAGCCAATTTAGCATCCCAGCCATTGCAATCTAGACCATGAATGCTTGCAATTACTTTGTGCCACAACCTATCTCTTTCAAAGGGAAATCTCCATAACCATTTACCCAACAATGCGGTGTTCCTTAGGGCAATGTTTCCTAATCCTAGCCCCCCTTGCTCTTTTGGCTTACTAACTTGTTCCCACTTGACTAAGTGATCCTTTTTTTCCTCCCCCGGTTCCCAAAGGAATTCCCTCATGAACTTCTCTAAATGTTTTGCTATCCTTGCCAGGATACAAAAGGTGGAAAGAAAGTAGATGGGTAGATTGTAATGGACCAACTTCTAATCTCACACCCCAACACCTCTGCAAAGCTCAAGAGCTCCTCTTCCTCCACATTAATTCCAGCAACTTTAGGTTACTCACCATTTCCAGATCAAGATTCTCACAAAACAAAATTGTATCATCAGCAAATTGAAGGATGTGAAACAATTACTTGATCTCTTCCAACCCTCCAACCCCTGATCAGCCCTGGGCGTCTACAGCTGTAATCATCTTATTGAGGATCTCTATTACTAGGTGAAAAGGAAGGGAGAAATGGGGTCCCTTGTCTTAAACCTCCCTTAGCCGGAAAGAAGTCTTTCGCCACTCCACTAATAAGAATGGAATAGTGAACTGACTCAATGCATCCTTTTATCCACTTCCTCCACCTTTCTCCAAACCCAAACCTCTCTAGGATTTCTAGCAGGATTTCCCAATTCACTAAGTCATAGGCCTTTCTAAATCCAACTTACAAACCATGCCTTTTCTTCTTTTTTTCCTTTTCTCAGCAACACATTCATTTGCCACAAGGAGTTGATCCACAATCTGTCTCCCTTCAACAAAGGCCCCTTGGAAAGGAGAAATTATTGAATGTAGGACTTTCTTGATTCTCTCTGAAAGAACCTTTGCAGTGATTTTGTAGAGACCCCTATCAAGCTGATTGGCCTGAAACCTTTGGAGATTTTGCCTCCTTCTTAGGTATCAGGGAGATAAAGGTAGCATTTGCTCTAAAGAGGATCTTTCCTTTTCAAAAAAAATCTTCAAACACTTCCACAAGGTCAAATTTTAGGAAATCCCAACACTCTTGGTAGAAAGCCATAGTAAAACCATCCAGTCCCAGGGCTTTTGATCTATCCATGGAGAAAATTGCTCCCTTAATTTCTTCCAAAGAGAAATGTCTTTCCAATTCCTAGGACTGATCCTCAGAGATTATAGTCCACTCCAGATCCGGTAACTTATCCTAGAGGCTTCGGTGACTGAGAGGAGACTCTTAAAATGGTTGACAAAAGCCCTCACAATCTCATGAGACTCCCTTAGTTCCTGGCCTTCCACTTCCACACAAGATTGGTGTTTAGCCTCTGTTGCACAACCATCAGTTTCATTGTCAATGGATTGATCTACCTTAGATTTACCTATTGACTTCGGAAAGGTAAACATTCTTGTACTAACCACCCTATTTCACATCGTCTCTTTTGCTCATTTATCTCCTTCCTATCACAAGTTTGTGTCTCTTGTCTCTTCTATTTCTATTACTAGGTCTATTTAGGAAGCCCTTCTCCCCAGATTGAAAGAAGGCAATAAAAGAGGAATTTTATGTTGTTGAGTCTAATCATACTTAAGATTTCACTCCTTTCCCTCCTAGGAAAAAGGCAATTGGTTGTCAATGGTTTTATACAGTTAAGCATCGGCTAAATGGTAGTGTTGAAAGGTATAAGGAGCGATTGGTAGCAAAAGGTAACACCCAGACATATGGCACTAACTACATTGATACATTCTCCCCTATGGATAAAATGGGATCTGTCTGTGTTATCATTTGTTTGGCTACTCACTTTGCCCAATCGTTGCTTCATCTAGTTGTGAAGAAAGACTTCCTTCACGATGATAATGATATTCAGGAGCACCCTCCTGAATATGTTGCTTAGGACGAGGTAGGTAAGGTATGCAAGTTAAAGAAGACAATTTATGGGATGAAACAGTCACTGCGAGCTTGGTTTGATCAGTTTAGTAGTGTGGTACAGCAGTTTGGACTAAGGCAATGTAGTGTTGATCACTTTATTTATAGTAGAGACACGCCTTCTAGTAAGATTGTTCTACCTGTTTACATTGATGATATCATTATCATAGGAAGTGATACGCATGGAATTGAGGAGTTGAAACAGTTCTACAACAGCAGTTTCAGACCAAGGCTATGGGTTAACTTTTGCTGTTGGGGCCCAACAGCATAGGCTGTTGAGACAGTTTCTGGGCTGGGCACATTCTGGGCAGTTCACCCATTCACGCCTATGCTTTGGTTTTTAGTCAAAATAAATTAAGATGTAATTACTAATTTACCCATTCACATGGTAACATGGCATTTTCAAAAATTCTCTCAACAGCATAGGCTGTTGGCCCCCAACAGCTAAAGTTTTTCCGGACCTGGGACACTTGAAGTATTTTTTTAGGCAATGAGGTAGCAAGGTTGAAGTGGGGAATCTCCCTTTCACAGAGAAAATATGTACTAGACCTGCCAGAAGAAACAAGATTACTAGGAGCAAAACCAATGAACACTCCTATTGATCCAAAAAGATATCTGATAGTGAAGGGGAGTTCCTGGATAATCCTGGCGAAATATAGAAAATCAATGTAGAAACTCATTTATCTTCCCCCTTCTTATACAAAAACCCTTTGCCTAGGGCACCTTTATAATATACAATCAAAACACCATACAGAAAAATAACCACTTACTTGCCAAATGCCACCTTTAGTTCAAACCAAAGGTATAATAATATGAACAAAAAAGGCTATACTATCATTTTTCTTAATTCCATAATGCATCATAGCATCCCCCTAGAATGTCAAGAAGTTCACTGCTCAAACTGTAAAAAGAAATTTATCATTAAAAAAAGGAAAAGCAATTCTAATCGGGACCTATGTTACCCAGATAGAGCAAAGATACAATTGGAATACAGTATTAGATAAAAATTTTACACTAAAATTTGAAGTATCCAACACCTTTGTACAGGTATCAGGTATCATAGGTTGGAACTACAACAAACAAATCTGGAAAAGTTGATCTTCATAGCCAAGATCTGAAGAATAACATAAGATCCAGTCAAGAAGCTCAGAAACCCAATAAAATAAACATGGTTTCATTACATCTGGTTGAAAAGAAATTTCCAGATCAACTTTAATAAGAAATAAGGCTGAAGCTACATGTAATAAACCCATAACCAAGATTTCCAATTTCACATTCTTAAGAGTTAAGATATGGAATAAACTTACTGCAAAAAAACCTCCAGCTCCATTCCCTGCATCAACAACTATATGGAACCCCTCCAATGGCTTTTCTGTGTCAAAAGTAAATCATAGTAAGTCAGACAAGTATTGACACCCAATAGAACAATATCAGGAAATGAAAAGAAAACTGTGGTTTTAGGTAATGGCTGAGAATATATCCCCCATTCAAGTCACAGTTCCTACCAAGGTTCAAAATATCAATACGCCTGATACACTGGTAGAGGCGTATCAGGCAGTATCAGTAGTTTTTTTTTTTTCAAATCCGGTTCAGAGGGGCCGGTTTAAGGTCTGTCCACCCCCTGAGCTGGTCAAAACCCCGATACACCCTCTGTAGGGGCATATCGGGAAGCTCCCGATACAATACGTATCGGCTGATACGGGTCAATAAGTATCGATACTTTGAACCTTGGTTCCTAACTTCCTACTCCACTAGGGGTTAGAGTTTTTCTTTTCTTTTCTTTTTTTTTTTTTTTGAGTTTATTGAAGACGAGAATGAAAAAGAGTACATGAAGAGATGTACAGTGAAGCAGTTAAGGCAGAATTACAAAGGCAGACAATTGCCACTAAAAAAACTTTCTCTAAAAACCCCTGATTTTGCTAGGCTATCAGCAACAGTGTTTTGCTCCCTAGGAATCCAGACCAGCTTCACATTCATTGAGTCTAAGATATCCCTAGCTTCAGCTAGCAAGTGTGCTAGTCTCCAAGGCCCTCCTTCATTCTCCCTTAACCAACTATAGTATTTGCATAATCCCCTTTAATGGTTCAAGAGGATAAACCTAGCCGTTTGGCAAAGCGAATTCCTGTAAGGGCAGCCAAGACCTCTGCCTTTGTAGCATCTCCCTCTCAGCAGGACCACTATAAGCCCAGCAGGTATTCTGATGAGTTACCGCTCACCTCGGAAGCCCCTTCGAGGGTGGCTTAACCTCCTGAAACAGAAGATGGGAGGGAAAGGGGAAAGGTAGGAAGAAAATGACTCAGAGAGAGAGATGAAAGGGATATTCATTCACACCACTTATTACATGATCAGGGCCTTATATAGTTGGCCTACATGTATGCAACCATGGAGAGAATATCTTCTGGTGGCAGTAACTAACTCTGGGAGGCTCTTCCGCGTGTCATGCTAGCTTCTCTGTCTTCTAGTGAAATGCTGCTCGGTGGTGGCCTGCTCCACTCCTATAGTTGGGTTCGGAGGGAGTGTTTGGGTTCCAACAATTCCTCCCCCCTTAGCATTGACCTTGCCCTCAAGGTCTAGGTCTGGAAACCTCTCATTCAGCCTAAGATAAGGTTCCCAAGTGGCATCATCTGGAGGAAGCACAGCCCATTCTACCTTGGCTTCTGGCACAACCTGACCACCTCCTCGAACCCAACGGAAATCCACAATTCTGATAGGCTCTGTGTCAATGTCCCCTTCTTCAGTGAATTGAGGTAAGTTGGGTGAGACAGGTGTATGATTTCCCACTGCCTTCTTAAGAAGTGAGATGTGAAACACTGAATGAAGCTTTGAGGTTGCAAAGAGGTCCAACCGATAAGCAACAAGGCCCACTCTCTCCAGAACCTTATAAGGCCCATAATACCTGGGTGCTAGCTTGTGCCAAGCCCGTCTTACTACTGAGATCTGGCGGTAAGGTTGGAGCTTAAGGTAAACGAAGTCACCCACCTGAAATTCTAACGGGCAGTGGTGAGTGTCATAGCAAGCCTTCATTCACTGTTGGGCTTTTGTCAAGTTGGACTTAAGCAATCTAAGAATCTCGTCTCTCACAAGTAGACGGGTCTCTACTTCTACCACCTTGGATGACCCATATTCATAAGGTAATATGGGAGGAGGTTCTTTGCCATAAAGAGCTTTGAAGGGTGTCATTCCAACAGTCGACTGATAAGTCGAATTGTACCAGTATTCTGCCCACGGAAGCCAGTGAGCCCACTGTCGAGGCTTTTCCCCTATGAAACATCTAAGGTAGGCTTCCAAGCAATGAATAAGAACTTCAATCTGCCCATCAGTCTGCGGGTGATAACTCGTGGAGGGGTGTAGTTGGGTTCCTTGCAACCGACAATATTCCTTCCAGAATGAACTCAAGAAAGCAGGGTCCCGATCTGAGACAATGGATCTTGGGGTTCCATGCAGCTTGGCGACGTCCCAGATGAAGATGTCAGCCACCATTGCTGCGGTGTAAGGGTGAGGTAATGCAGAGAAATGGTTGTACTTGGTGAGACGGTCAACCACTACCATGATAACCTCCTTTCCTGCAAAACGAGGAAGACCAGTGATGAAGTCCATGGAAAGGTCTTCCCACACTTGATCTGGAATCTTGAGAGGTTGTAGAAGGCCAGCGGGAGACTGTGACGAGTATTTCTGCTGTTGGCAGGTTTGGCATTCAGATACATATTGTAATACATCTTTACGCATTCCTACCCAATGATAGTGGTTGTTACGCATTCCTACCCAATGATAGTGGCTGTTGAGCCTCTTTAGGGTCCGTAGCACCCCTGAGTGCCCTCCCAAGGCGGAGTCATGAAACAACCTTAGTAGTTCAGCTTTGTGGGCCGAATTCTGGGCAACAACAAACTGACCCCTAAAGAAAAGATCAGGCCCCACAACTTGGTAACCARCAACTTGTGAAGGGTCTCGCCTCCACTTATCTCTAATGACCTGCAACTGCGGATCAGACCTGGCTTCTTGTCGTATAGCTTCAAACAAAGGGAAGTTGGGCTGAGAGCAGGTCAGATGGGCCAACTCTTCTACTCTTGACAAGGCATCAACTACTCTGTTTGCAGGCCCCGGCTTATATTCTATGAGGTAGTCAAAGCCCATCAGTTTACTAAGCCATTTTTGCTGCTCCGGGGTGTGCACCCTTTGCTCTGCTATGTACTTCAAACTTCGTTGGTCTGTCCTAATAACAAATTGGCGTCCCAATAGGTATGCATGCCACTTTTGCACTGCCATTACCACAACCATCATTTCTTTGACATAAGTGGAATGACTTTGGTGAGCTGCTGAGAGAGCCTTGCTGAAATAAGCAATGGGCTGCCCTTTCTGCATCAAGACGGCCCCTACTCCTACACCCGACGCATCACATTCTATTTCAAAGGGCTGAGAGAAGTCTGGAAGAGTGAGGACTGGAGGGCTGAAAACTGCTGTCTTCAAGTCTTCAAAAGCCCGTTGGGCTTTATCAGTCCAATTGAAGGAATCCTTCTTTAATAGAAGCATTAGAGGGGCGGCCATAAGCTCATACCCCTTAATGAAGCGCCTATAATATCCGGTAAGCCCAAGAAAGCCCTGCAGAGCCTTTACAGTAGTGGGCTTGGGCCACTTCTGGATGGCGTCTATACCTTTTCTAGGTCTGCCATGACCCAACCTACTGCAACCACATGGCCTAAGTACTGAATTTGTCCTTGTCCAAAGGAACACTTTGTCATTTTGGCATGTAGTTGGTGCCCCTTTAGAGTTGTGAGGATGAGTTTCAGATGTTCCATATGTGTCCCAATCCCTGTTGTATGCCAGAATATCATCGAAAAAGACCAGAATAAATCGCCTTAGAAATGGCCTAAAGATGTCATTCATGAGGGCCTGAAAGGTGGAGAGGGCGTTTGTGAGTCCAAAAGGCAGTGTTCAAGCCATTGTGCTAACACGCAGCCATAACCAAAAACTCATAATGGCCATCGTGGGTCCTAAAGGCCGTCTTGTGGATGTCAGCCTGGTGGACCCGAATCTRATGATACCCGGACCGCAAGTCTAATTTGGAGAACACTCGTGCCTCTCCTAACTCATCCAGTAGTTCGTCAATGAGGGGTATAGGAAACTTGTCCTTCATGGTAATCTGATTCCAAGGTCCGGTAATCTACGCAAAAGCGTCAACTACCATCCTCCTTCTTTACTAAGAGTACAGGAGATGAAAAAGGGTTGGTGCTGGTCTGTATATGCCCTTTTTCCAATAGTTCTCTCACTGCCTTCTCAATTTCCAGCTTCTGAAGGTAAGGGTATCTATATGGCCTCACATTGGCCAGATTAGAACCGGGTGAAAGAGGTATCTGATGATCACAAGCCCGGGGTGGAGGTAATTGGTTTGGCTCCTTGAATACATCGTCAAACTGATCGAGTATCGACCGTAAGGCCTTGTATTGGGCTTCTGTGGGGTGAACACAGCCCTGGTTGTCCAGAATTGGGACTGTGGGCCGAATGCCTAAGTGCATAAATATGGGTTGGCCAGCATCCTTGGAGGCCCATATCATGGAGGCTAAAATGTCACTTTGTGGACTAGGGAGCCGCACCCCTTGTAAATGACAAGACTGGCCATCCTGGTGAAAATCCATTGTCATTTTGGTCCAATCACATAGAGCAGGGTCCAGGCCACGCAACCAATGAACCCCCAAAATAATATCAGCCCCCGAGAAATCCAATGGGTGGAGATCCATCACAAAATTATGGCCCTGTATGAGGATTTTTTTCCTTCTTACATACACCATTACATGACATTTGACTCGCATTAGCCACATGGATTGAAAAGAGAGTAGGTTGTATGGTCATACCTAGCTACTTAGCCAAACGGCAAGTGATGAAATTCAGGGTAGAGCCACTGTCAATCAAAATCATCACGGTCTGGCCCACCAATCTTCCTTCAACTCGCATGGACTGAAGAGAGTTGAGGCCCATGAGGGCGTGTAAGGAGATCTCGGCCCCGTCAGGTTCTGGTCTGTCTGGAATCAATTCACAGTCATTTAAGTGCTCTGGGTCTGTCTCTTCCGACTCTTCCTCTGCCTGTAGGAGAAACACCCGTTGGACCCGACATCCCACTAAGGCTTTCTCCGGCCAGCCGTGTACCCTGGTCGCCATCCACTCGAACTCGAGCTGGTACTCTACTACCGTTCCAGTCTGCTTCAATCGGGTGATCAGCTCGTCGTAGTCCATGAATGTCGTCGGCCCAAAGCGAATGCACAAAGCTTCGGTGAACTCCACCCAAGTTATCTGGGGATGATTCCGGCGATACCACTGGAGCCATAGAATCGCGTCTCCTTCTAGATGAATGGAGGCGACGGAGACACGCTAGTGTGCAGGAGTTTCGTGGTATTCGAAATATCTTTCTGCTCGGAAGATCCAAGGAATGGGATCTCCACCAGAATAGTTGGGAAAGTTGATCTTAGTGACTTTTCCGGTGGGGTAATCCCCTGTTCTTTGGCTACTGGAAGCAAAGGCTTCCGCTCCTACTAGGTGACTAGTCTCGCCAGACTGTTGCTGAGAGACGAAGCCGGAGACGACCACTTTGAGTTCCTTGAGTTCGTTCAACACCTGGTGAAATCCAACCTCAAGCTAGTCGACCCTTTCATCCATGGTAGTGGAACGTGTCTATGGCATCGTGAAGCCTGGCTCTGATACCAATCTGATGAGTTACCGCTCACCTCGGAAGCCCCTTTGAGGGTGGCTTAACCTCCTGAAACAGAAGATGGGAGGGAAAGGGGAAAGGTAGGAAGAAAATGACTCAGAGAGAGATGAAAGGGATATTCATTCACGCCACTTATTACATGATCAGGGCCTTATATAGTTGGCCTACATGTATGCAATCATGGAGAGAATATCTTCTGGTGGCAGTGTAACCAACTCTGGGAGGCTCTGCCGCGTGTCACGCTAGCCTTTCAGTTTTCTAGTGAAATGCTGCTCGGTGGTGGCCTGCTCCACTCCTATAGTTGGGTTCAGAGGGAGTGTTTGGGTCCCAACATATTCCCCCTTTCTCCTTGGACTACACCTCCAGTTCCTGCTTGACCTGTAGAGCCCTGGGCACTACCATCAAAGTTTAGAGTCACCACTCCTTCCTCTTTAGAAAAATGTCTCACAATCAATTTGGTTCTTGGAGAGGAGTGCAGGACTGCTGAAACCACCCAAAGATTACAGAGAAAAGTGATGTAGGAAGTTAGGTCTTCAGCATTCCTAGCTTTATTTTCGAAAATTCTATTGTTCCTTTCTTCCCAAATGCCCCACAGGACTGCATGAGTCACCATACTCCAATATAAATTATAATCTTCCTCTTTTCCTAGTCCTCTAACTCCAGGAGGTCCTCCATGGGGTTAGAGTTGTGACTTGAAGGGAACATTCCAGGTGGTGACCAAATGGATGAAAAGGATTTTGCATGTCCCATAGCTGTCTCCATTTCAACAGAGAAGCCTATGCCCTGGCTTCAAGGTTAAGGCCCCGTTTGGTTCACGGGAATAGGGGTCTGGAATTGGAATCGGAGTCCCATTCCCATTCCTGCTGGAATGGCATTCCCTCATTTGAGGGAATGGCCATTCCCCGCCCCTCCCTTGGGAACGTAATCCAATCCTATTCCTGCTGATTCCAATTTCCACTCCCATTCCTGTCTGAACCAAACATACTATGGGATTCCGATTCTGATTCCAGTGGATTCAGATTCCAACTCTGATTCCAATTCCAACTGCAAATCAAATGGACCCTAAGTGGTTTTTTCCATTGATTAAATAGATCTGCAAGTGCTAATGCTGACAATTTGGACAAATATGGTGTCCCAGAACAAGACTTGCAGTGGGGCATGTTAGCTTCAGCATAGTATAAGTTCACTCTTTCTTGTATGGGTCTATGTTACCCGGATACAGTAGGGACATGACAGGGTATGAAATCAAATACAAAATTTACACTAAAAATTAAAGTATCTGACATAATACAGCACCCTACAGATATCCAGGTATCAAAGGTATAGATTTCCCTATGTGATTCTCTTGGATTTTCTTGACGATTGGGCTTGTCACCTCACAAGCCCAAAACCTCCTCCATTCTCTTTTAAGAATCTTATTGATAAGATTCATCTATTTGCCCAGGGAGGGGGTCACTGTAGCATGTAGCAACCTCAACAATAATAACAAAACAAAGTAGGCAACAACAGTGGTAATAATAATAAATATGTGAGTAAGATGTAAGACCTGGATCAAGTGAGTCAGCATTCCACATGATAAGAGAAAGAGGAATAAAACTTTCCTAGATCTATATTTTATTAACATTTTTCAAAAAAAAATATTACCTATATTCCCTGCAGCTCTGCGCACTGCTTTTACAAGATCAGATGTATAAACAGACATGTAGTCCACCCTCTTTATTGATGCAGAAGTTGCTCTTTCTGAGGTTTTCAAATTTTCAGATGAAAAAGTGGCATATATATTTGCAGCACGCTCCAAGATATCTCTAATGTCAGCCTTCCCCAGCCCCCCAGCATTAGTGAAAAATTTAAAACCGTTTCTGTTGTAAGGAAGATGGCTGGCTGCATGCAGAATTACATCAAAAAGCTTTTAGCATAATTTTGAAATGCAAAAGTATGCAAGAAATATTCCAACAATGATAAAGTAATAAAACACAAAACATTAAAAATAGTCTAATCTACCATCAAAAAAGCATAATCTAGTAATGATTCCATAACCTGAAAAACTCATTATCCCCTTACAGGATCTAAGGTTGATAAGCTCAAACAAAAGACACTGTATTCACCTGTTATCATTATGGACCCATCAACTGGGCACAGAAACTTCTCATCTTCTGTAAGTGTGCTGTTAAACATTGCTGGTGTAGATGCTAACCTACAAACATTTAGCAATATCCATCAGTATAGGCCTAACGATAAAGCAAGGATATATGCTAAATAAACAGATACCAAAAAAGATGCCTCAATTGTGAATTGCTTGAATACAAATGCTCATATAAACAATCAACCCAAATGATCAATGATGGATAAAAACAATTACTAGTATATTACTTACCCATATTGAACAACATCCAAACCTGCACTAGCAATTCCTCGAGAAACTGCATCCTGAAAGTAAAAACCATCTAACCCTCAGAATTCTTACAATAAATAATAACAAAAACAATAAGAATAAGAATAACCATGAAGTTCTGATAATGAAAACAACAAGAATTAAGAAGAATATAAGTTACTTGTATATGGAGAGCTAGGTCTGAAGCTGAAGTTTAGAAACAAATCTTTGTTGGTAAAGGGCCCTAGGAGATTTCTTTTGGATTTTGACAAACTTTTTTTTTTTTTTACCAATAACACTTTCATTAATTCATCAGTAGAAAATTTACAAGTGGAAGACAAACACACTTATCTTCCAAGAGTCACAAAGAACTTCAAGAAAGGAAAGAAGAAAATACAAAGATACAAGGACACTAACATTACAACTTAGCCCAAAACAAGGAATCCCTTTCTGCCCAAAAACAAGGATTTTGACAAACTTTGGTGTACTGTTACTTGAAGCATTAACAGTCTTAATACCAATGACATAGATGCAAGGCTGGCAAGAAGAAAAATATTTCCTCTCCTTGCAAATACTTTTGGAGGAAGACCATTATACAGACTAAACTCCCTAGACTGTATGCTTTGTCACCTTTTCAAAATTGCTCTCTTTCCTCCTTTTACAGATCTATTTTAAGACACACTTGGAACATACTCAAGAAATGACTAAGGGTTATGGAATCTGATGATTGCTCAGGTAATAATACTAAATTCTGGGAACATTTTTGGATGGAGCAGTCTCCATTAAAAGAATAATTTCCTTCTCTTTTTGCTATCTCTTCCTGCAAAGGAGATTTTTTGGCTAAATTTTCCGTCCCTTTATCCTCTAGCATTGGTTTTTACTAGGATTTAGGTTTCAAAAGTGGTCTTAGGGATTCTAAGTTAGCCAATGTTCTCAGTCTCCTACAAATTCTTGGACAGTTGGACCTTGGTCAAATTTGGATCCTGTCACTCTTAGGATCTTTCACTTATGACTCATTTTTTAAGGCTTTACACAGTCCCCTCTTCCCTTGCAACTTTTTCCTCAAAAGAAGTTTGGTGTAGACCCACCCCACCTAAGATTGGAGCTTTTCCTCAAAAGAAGTTTGGTGTACACAGTCCCCTCTTCTCGTGCGATTCACAATTTGAATCGTACAATTCGAATCAAATTGGGGCCAAAACGATACAAATCATATATATGAATCGTTTTTTGAATTAATCGTACGATTTATAGTTAAATTGCTAATTTAAATCATGAATCGCGATTCATACACGATTCAAACGATTAGAGCTGAAAGGTTAATTTAAGTGTAAATGACGATTTAATCCTCCTCCTTTTTAAAGTTTCACCTTTACATCAAGGGGCAGAATTGTCATTTTAGTTATAAAATATAAAATAACCTCTTTGGTCGATCAAACATGACTTACCATTAAGGAAAAGACTGGGCGGGAGTGGGAGAAAAGAAACCCTCCTCCGTTGTTTCGGTGAAGCTCCAAACCTCCTTCTCTGCTGGTCCGCTTGATAGGTAAGAGATTTAGTTTTTTATTTTTTAGATTTCTACTGTTTTTCTATTTGCTGTACATGGTTTGCTCCAAACCTCCTTCTCTACTGGTTTGCTGTACATGGTTTCTACAGTTTTTCGATATCTTCTTCTTCCTCCTCCTGCTCCTCCTCCTTTTTCTTCTTCTTTCTTCTAAATATGTTCTTTCTTGTTCTGACACAAAAGCAGGGGTTCCACCCATTTCTTTCAATCTTTTTTTACACGAAAACAGGGCTCCATCCCATGTTTTTCATTCTTTTTTTTTTTTTTTTGCATGATAGCAGGGGGCTTCAACCCATGTTTTTCCTCCTTTTGCCTGAACTAGGGGTCCTCCCTAGTTCCGTCCTTTCTTCTTGCATGGGCTCCGCCCTTTTACATTTTCCCTTTTTTCATTCACCCTTTTTCCATGCACAAAACAGTGGCTTCTCCTCAATCTTTTTACTTGTTTTCTTGCATGAAAATAGGGCTTTAGCCCTGATATATTCCCCTCAGTCTTTCCCTAATCTCAAAACAGGGGCTCTTCCCCATTTTTCATTCTTTTTTACACATAAAACAAAACTGTATTATGGAAAAACAGAGAAGTACTTGCACTTTACAGGTTAAAACGTGATGCTTTCTATTGTGCAAAAACAACTTTTTTTACGTAAAGACAGGGAATATCCTATTTTTTCACTCTTTTTTGACATGAAAACAGGGTTCATTTATTTTCTTTCTTCATATTAAAACACTGACTTTGCCCCATTCTTTCTTATATTCATTTTTCCCTTGTTTGTATTTTTCTCCTTAAAATTAGATAATGAGTTATGAAGCACTTCTTTTCAGACTTTAAAATTTGATCCATACACATAATATCTCTTTATAAGCATGCATTTCACATGACTTAGGTGTCCTTTTGTTTATAAATGGTAGGAAGCAATGATAGAATAGGGCCTTTGCATCTGAACACTCAAGAACTCTATATTCCTTGATGATCAGTGAGGATTTCTTTGTTAGCTTCAGTATTTAAGTCTTTATTTATGCTGGTTGAGTGGAGATGGTTAGGCTTATAAGTTGGCTAGATTTGAAATTTATTATACTTGTCCACATAGCATTTCTTTGGTTATTTAGAGATTTATGTCACCGGAATGTGCTTATGAGTTATGTCCAATTATGCAATGGTATTAGTTACCAAAAAAATTATTAAACTTCAGAATTTAATTTCTTTAATTGAATTGTTTCACTATTGTATTCTTGTATTGATGATTTAATGTGTGAATTTTTTGAATTATCATGTTCTTGGATGTGTGTAAGACTCAAAATATCATGTTCTTGTATTGATGATTTAGCTTAAATTATTGAAACTTGAAAGACGAAACATTAGGAATTAGATAACCTTTTAGTTCTTTTTTGTTGAGCCTTGGGGATGAAGAGTGAAGACATGAACATGATGCCACGTAAAGCTCATATTTATATAATTATATGATGATATCAAATAGCAATACAATTAAGGATATAGTTTTTTATTGTTTAAAATTGAAGTTGAACTTGATCATACCCATGTCTTCTATTGAATTATGAATTGTGAAAGTGGTGTAATTGTTAGACTCACTACCAGTCTACTACTACCTATTTACCTTATGTCTATAGGCTAAAAATTAGTACAAAGTCATTCTTTTTCCTAATTTTTTAGGGGTTTAGGTATTTTTATAGTTTTTTGACAATTTTTAGAAAAACCGGAAAAAAAAATTATGATTTACAATACGATTCATGATATGATTCGATTCAAACCTCTTTACAATTTACGATACTATTAAGATTTTCAATGGAGGATGCATATATGTATATTTGATGTTTTTATAATCATAATAAACTTGATGGTTATTGATCAAAAAAAAGATATGGAATGTGATGATGTGATTGTCTCCTTATTCCTAGATCCAAACGGGCAAGATGGTAGAGTCTAGTCTATTTGTCCTGGTGGTTTTTTCTATTGTGCCTCTTTTTTTAGGGATTTGGTTCCATTGCTTCCCCCAACTTGTTCAAAGTTGTTTAGTTGAGTCCCACCCCTTTTGAAGTTGTTTAAGGATTTGGTTCCACTGCTTCCCCCAACTTGTTTAAAGTTGATTACATCACAAATGATACAATCATTCTTTGTGAGGAGTGTGATAAAACCAACATGAGGAATGTAAAGGATTTGGTTAAGGAATTCCAAAGGATATCAAATTTGAAAATGAATTGGGGGAAAAGTTGTGTGGTGGGAGTCAATATGGGAGGCAATGACATTCAGGTAGTGGTAGAGATTCTTGGATGTGAAGTCAAAGGCCAGCCCCTAGAGTATCTTGGTATGCCTTTGGGGGGTAATCAAAGAACGAAGGCTTCTGGAAACCTGTTGTGGAAAGATTTGTTAAAAAATTAGCTATGTAGAAGAGGAATTACATCTCTTTGAGGGGTAGAATAACTCTGATCAAATCCACTTTAGCCAACCTGCCTATCTACTTTCTCTTTTACTTTTAGGATTCCAGTGAAGGTAGACAGGCAATTAGAAAAGATTATGAGACACTTTTTTCTGGGAACCGGGTGATGAGAAAAAAGGCCACTCAGTAAAATGGGAACAAGTGTGGAAAATTTGATAGTCAAGGGAAACTCTAAGGTGGTAGTGAGCTGGTTGTTGAATCCAGATACAATCCTCTAGGGATACAGTGATCTTCTCAAGAAAGCTAAGTGGCTAACAAGGAACATGTCAGTCAGTTTTCAGTGGGTTAGCAGATTAGCAAATGCTATGGTCAATTCTTTGGCTAAACAAGGGGTCTCAAGGGCTGAATTATTTTGGGCTACCTTATGATTGTATCCTGTTAAGAGTATGGTTCTATTCTCATCTCTACGGAGAGTTAACATCTCGTGCCTCCTCCTAGGGTGAATGTATACTTGCTTCTTTTATTAATAAAATCATTATTCATTTATCAAAAAAATGGAAACAAGTTTGCAAGTCTAAGGATCGGGGGGCTGGGCACATTGGGAATTTGGTCAAGAGAAACACAACCTTACAACGCAAGTGGCCTTGAAGATTTCCCCTAGAGGGTGACAGGCTGTGGCACAAGGTCATTGAAAGCATTCATGGTGTGGCAGAAAATGGAGAGCATGCAAAAATGGCAATTCACACTTCACCAAGCTCCCCCTAGAAAGCAATTATTGAGGTGCAACCTTCCTTTATTAATTTTATTCACTTTGATGTGGGTTGCAGGAATAAAGTGTTGTTTTGGGAAGATCTTTGGATTGATGAGCTGCCTCTTAAACTACAATCCCCTGAACTTTACTCCCTGTCTAATTACAAATTGGACCATGTTTCTAAATTTGGTGTAACCACTACTTTAGGGTAAATTGGGATTTTAGTTTTAGGAGGGGCTTGAGGGATAGTGAATACAATTCCCTAACTCTTTTACTTTCAAAGCTAAAAAAAGAAAAATTTGGACCAAAACTATTCTGATGTGAGAGTTTGGTCTCCTCCCACTAAGTTCTCTTGTGTCTCCATCAACCTATCGGTTCATTCGGGGGGGGGGGAATTCTCGGTGAAAGAGATTTACTGTAAACCTGTCCCTCCTAAAGTTCAAGGTTTGTGTTGGGAAGTATTCCTTGGAAAGATTAACACTTGTGATAGGCTACAGAAAAAAGGCCTATATGTGCGTCTATTGCAAGGCTAGTGGTGAGACCCTTCCTCTTTGGTTGCATACGGGTACCTCCAAAAGATGTGGTAAGCCTATTCAACTGACTTCTTGAGGGATGACAAAGAAGGATTAGGTGGACAGTAAAAGCAACTTTAGTGTGGACTGTTTAGGAAGAAAGAAACCAAAGGATCTTAAAACAAAGCTGTGTCCTTGGCGGTACAAACACTTATTGAGCAGACTATTCCACTCAAGGGAAGTGTGGTTGCTTTGCTTAACTCTTTCTCTACAATAATGTCAATATTATTTCTTCTCTTGGCCAATCTCAACCCGTGAAGAACTGCTAATATATGTGGGGGATGGTGATGGCCTGTGAAGTTTTGAAAGTCTAGGGGAGTGGCAAGATCAAAAGAAGACGAGAGAAAGAACAGATCTGAAGGGCATATCTGAGAGATGAAGGGGTTGGAGCTCCAAGTCCTCAAAGCTCTGTAAGTCTAGGGTTCTGTACTGCTGAGACTCTGAGATGATCCCCACAGAAAGTCCCTTTTTGGCTTTTTATACATATTCCTCTTCTTTGGGATGTCACATGGAGAGTGTGACCACTCGAGATGCAGAAAAATCTCTTGTCAGAGAAATATCCCAGTTAGTTATGCCCGCTCAGCAAGGTCGTTATTGGGAAAAGGCGTGGAACAAACCTGGTACTAGACTAGGTGTTTTTTTTTTATCAATAACATATAAACTAGGTGTCTTTCCCAGCAACTCATGTGTGTCCCCCAGTCACAACCCAGCCATACGCTACCAACTATGGCTCTCTCTTTCTTTGCTGGCTATGTTTCACACATGCAGTTGTATGTAACAACCATGGTCTTGGGATATCCATGCCCTTACAGATTTCAGATCTGATTGCATTTCTTTGGTCTGCTGGTCCAGGAAGAGTTTATTTGTCTCTATACTGTTTCTGAATACCCCACCAATTCCGGAAGGGCCCAGGTTACCCCTGCTGCATCCATCAAAGTTAAGTTTGATCAATTGAGGTGGTAGGAGTTCCCATTGAGGGTGTGCAACAACCCTGACAATGGAGGAGTTAAAAATCAGTTGCCACTTTCTAACAATGTCATTGGTGGAGAAAGAGTTAAACAACCACACTGTTCTTAACCTAATGAACCACTTTCAAGGTGATGTATAGCTCTTCTATCTTGTGCCTTGTCCCTAAACAGTCTTCCATTTCTTTTCCTAAATGGACCACAGTAACAAAGCAGAGTTATTGATATGATCTCTTGCTTCTAACTCCAAAAAAGCCTTTCTCGAAAAGTCGTCTCCTGGTTGCAAAAGCTGTAACAATCAAGGCTGAATTTAATGAAGGTTGGCCATGGAGGAGATCAAGATGGCTGGATTGTTATTAATCTAGTTAAGGAAGAAGCCTTTATATTCCAGCCCCAAACAATGTCATCAGTACTGAATACTTGGAATTCATCTAATGTCTGAGTCAATGAGCTACTCTTATTGAAAGGGTATCCATTAAGACCTCTACCAATTGAGATTTTTCTTGAAAGATTCTTGCTTTGCATTCCTCCCAAGTCAACCAAAGGACAACAACTCTAACATATCTTTGCATGATGTTTCTTCATTTTCTTTGAGGAGAAAAGAACAAGGGTCTGAACAGGCGAGTAATCTCAGTTGGCATAGAGAACTTGTATCTGTTTTTTTTTTTTAGTTTGATCAGTAACAATGAACAGTAACTATCAGCTGTTCTTGGGAGTGATAGTACTGGGAGGCTCCTAAATGGAACATTATCCGCTTAAGCTTGAATATACATGGATGTCAAATGCAAAGTTCCTCCAACATGAACATGAAGCACTCAAATGGATTTGAAACAATGGAAGCTGGGCAAAAAGACTAGCAAGCCTTAGCATCCAAGGTCTTGGGAGGACCGGAGGAGTGGATTGGTTACAACCCAAATAATCTCAGCAATCAGAAAAATAAATCAAAACAAGATAAAAATCTATTCTTTTGATAAAGGACAAACAAATTTATTACTGGATATGTAAAGAACTGAAATTACCTGTAGCTTTTGTGCAGATATCCGCGAGTCATGGCCAACAGAAACTCTCAGCCCTCTAGAGCCATCTGCTGCTTTTCTGTCCAATAACCATGCAGCAAATGCAGCAGCTATTGCTTCAGTGACAGACTCAGTGAGATTAACAGGTTCGCCCTCAACACCAGCAACAGCAACACCTCGAATATCACTGCAAGGGTGAATTAGTCTTTAAAAATACGAAAATGCTCATTCCAACAAGTTATATAAGTCATATAAAAATCAGTCTCAACAATAACCCCAATACCAACCTTTATAGCTAACAAGAAAAAACACATGGCTGTTTGCCATACAACAAGCTTAAACTTACATTCTTATTGTCAACAGTTAAGTCATCCACTAATACTTATCATTGGAAGTGAAAAGAATGATTCCTTAACTGGTGACACTAAGGCTGTCTCTGGATTAGGGTGAATTTCAATTTGGCAGGAGAATTGAAATTATTAATTCCAAATATTTCCAGATTTCATTATTTGGGTCCATTTTATGCAAAATAGGATTCAGACAAAACAAGGATTTTCAGCCTTGAATTCTGCATTTTAGCAGAACTAAAAATGATGTAGGAGACTAGTCATTCAATTTCGTGGATTTGAGATGGGAGTGGAATTCAAATCCATATCCAATCCCATGATCTAAATGTGGCCTAAAAATGTAAAGTTGAATTTAACATCCATGAAAACATGATGGCCTTACAATAATCCCTCCTTCTGGAACACTATCCATTAAGCTTTGACAGGTTTTGCTCAGATGATGATGATTCCAGGCTTGCAAAGAGTTTAGCAGATACTCCAGCAAGAATGGGTGTTAACAAGAACAAGTTAAGAGGAAAACCAGGACCTGGTGCAAATTTATAACCATTTTGGACAGGTATAGTGTGGTTGTATCTCAGATGGTCTGGTGCAAATTTATAATGATATTCACTGTTGTTCAAAAAAAAATCATTTGAACTCATAGATTAGCCAATAGCTTAGCTGATGCAGCTAGGCAGGGAGTTAATAGAAGAGTATCATATGGGGGTCAACCCCAAGGAAAGTTATATATAAATTGTAAAGTAGAAAGTTTGAAATTGGGGTAGGTAGGTGGGGCTAGCCTACCACATCAGGAAGGGTGCTTGGCACACTTGTACTGTAATCTATTCTTTTTTACACACTAATAAAGTTCTTGCTTACCAATAAAAAAAAAAAGGAACAGAAAAAGAATGTTGAAGCCATGAAGTTGGTAGTGCAGCAGCATTGTACCCTGTTTTATTGAGAAAAGGTAACTTGTATACGAGGGATGCACATCAATGCACAAAAAGCGTGACAGATTCGTTCAATGCCAAAATCGTGGAGGAAGGAAGCTATTACCATAGAAGACCATTACCTAATGTTGGTCCCAGCTATCCAGGTCTTGGGAGGGATTGACTGCATATGGATCTAACCTCTAGCATTTTTGGCACACAATGTAACCTCTCAGACTCAAACCCACATCCTCATGCTTTTCATCCAAAGATTTTACTATCACATTAGGCAATGGCCCCTTAGCAAGATATCACTGTACAATATAAATAAAAGCCTGAATCACCCCCGATTTAAGCTATTTAATGGAAAGAAACCATTTGAAGAGGGAGAGAAACAAACAAGGAATGAAACAAAACATTCACTCTTGGATTGACCTCACAATGGAAAGAACCATTCATTGGGTCTTGACCTATGAAGAATACAAAAGAACACCATAGATGGCATTTAGAACGATTGGCAAACTGTAACAGGCTTCTCCAGCCAGTGGGAGAAAGCAAAGTAATATGGAATGGAGAACACTAGAGAAAGGGCAAAAAATCTGAACTTTGATAATGCTGTTTAGGCAACCTTGCAGTTTCAGGCACATTGAGGAAGCTGTTAGATTAGGGGTGGCAAACGGGTGGGTTGGGTTGGGTAAGGGTTGAATACCAACCCACCCATATTGACCCACCAACCCACCATGACCCATCATCAATCCTTGTTAAAGGGTCATAACCCACCCATATTGACCCACTTGACCCATCCATATTGACCCTTAACCACCATCACCCATACTAACCCACCTACCCTCACCTATAAATACAAAAATGGGTTGGGACAGCCCCCGTATACCCAAAAAACCATTTTTGAGAAAATCATCTCTCTTAAGACTGCCACGTGATAGAAACAGGTTGGGTTGACCCGTATATCCGGAAAAAAAATAATAAAAAACATTTTTGAGAGAATCATCTCTGGCAAGACTACCACGTGACAAAAATGAGTCAAGTCTACCTGTATATCCGAAAATGCAAATATTGTAGATAAATGCAAAAAATAGTAGAAAATTGCAGAAATGCAAAAAAAAAAATTGCAGAAAATTCAAAAATACAAAAATGCCAGAAAATTACGAAAAATACCAAAAAATTACAGAAAATTCAGAACTTTTGCAGAAAAATTTAGAAAATATGCAAAAAAATACCAGAAATTTTCAGAAAATGTAGAAAAAAACCATAAATTTGCAAAAAAATATGCAGAAAATACCAAAAAAATACAGATAGTGTAGAAAATAGCAGAAAATGCAGAAAAATACCAAATAATTTTAGAAAACGTAGAAAAATACCAGAAAATTGCAAAAAAGCAGAGAAATACCAAAAAATTACAGAAAATATAGAAAATAGAAAAATTGCAGAAAATGCAAAAAAAATGCATAACTTTTATAAAAGTGCTTTTGCAAAAGTACTTTTATAAAGTACTTCCATAAAAGTGATTTCATAAAAGTACTTTCGCAAAAGTGCTTTTGTAAAAGTACTTTTATAAAAGTGCTTTTGTGTAAAAGTACTTTTGTAAAAGTGCTTTCGTAAAAGTCATTTTCATAAAATTACTTTATAAAATTGCTTTTGTAAAAGTGCTTTCATGTAAAATTGCATGTGAACACGAAAGTTAATAAAATCTATTTTATTTCACTTTTAATCACAAAATGAGATGTGTCATGGTGGTTTGGAACTGTAATGAGATGTGGACACACTGGGAGACATGAGTTCAAGTCACTTCAATTGCTGTTTTTTGAGATTTGGCAAATATAAATAGAGCTGACTTTGACCAAACCCATCCTGACCCGCGCGACCCAACCCATCCCTAATGGGTACCCTCAACCCAACCCACCTTTGACCCTTTTCCACTGACCCTAATGGGTTACTCGACCCATATTGACCCACCAATAGATTGGGTGGGTATGGGTGGGTTCCAAGGTGGGTGGGTTGGGTGGGTCAAATGGGTCGGGGTCAAGATTGCCAGCCCTAGTTAGATATGACAAGGGGAATACCCTTCTAAGTTTTTCTGGTCTTGTTGGTCCTGGAAACAACTTAAGACAGAACTGTTAGAACTAATTCAAGGTTTAAAACTTGCCTTATCAACTAGTTGAATGGATCTACTTGTTGAAGGGAATTGTCTAGTAATCATAAACTGGTTAAAGGCAGTGGAACAAGTGCCTTAGACACTCAGGTTTCTAGTTAGAGAAGCTAGGGCCTTGGCTTTAACTCTGATCACAAGTAAACATTGAGCACAAAGAATTGCTAAATCCTGATAAATAAAAAAAGAATGAAAGCATATTGCAGAGGTAGCAAGAAGTCTATGGAAGACAAAAAATCATCATAAGCTATACTTGAATTTCCATTGCAAAACATGGAAACCAGTAACCTAATTTCTTCTTGCAGAGTAAGATTTTCCTTACTGAGTATTACTGACAAACCAAAGTCATTTCGAGGGACCAGAACACCAAGCAAACCTATATATGCCAGTAATCTAAGGTGCTAAGCTAATTTAAATATTATACTATATCCTCTTAACCCATTGAAAAGGTAAGGAATTTATTTCCTTTCAAATGTTTGGGTTTTAAGTTTTGAAAGTGTCAAATTTTTGCTCTAAATTATCCAGTATAACTGGACTTAATCAAACAGACTGAACCAGGTCTGTAGCCCCTGGTCTTGACTCAAGGTCATAAGTTTATGGATACAGAGAAACTGATGAATGGATTTCACTAGAAAATGAAAGTATATTGCACGTATGTAACAATATAGTTATAATATTAACAAACTCAGCAAGTATGCCATACTGCAGTATTGCAGTATTGCACAAGTAATTGCCTGCAGCTTTCCTTTCCCAGTGATATATGTGTTTACATATCTACATGTCATCAGGAGTTTTTTTTTTTTTGATGAATATGTCATCAAGAGTAAATTCTTTTATTGAATGTTAACATCCAATAATACGACCAAAATAAATAATGCAATGAAGCACATAGAACCATCTATCAAACAGATCAACTATAAATTCCACTTCAACAAGTAAACATAAGAAGCAAGTTAAAATGTATAAAACAACATTGTTTGCATGTTGCAACTGATTTTGTTCCCAACAGGTATGCGAATTGAGAAAATCTAAGGTTGCATTAGATAAGCTTCAGGATTTTTGCTTTTAAAGCCCATAAGTACAAGGCCCCAATTTTATGCTTTGTGCTTTGAGGCTCCAATGTGTTTTGACTTTAGATTTTCATGTTTTTAAAAGCAACTCTTACCAAACATTAAATACACTTTTTAACTTAATTCTGTTTCCTACACCCCCAAAGTTCAAAAGCAAAAGCTTATCCAAACAGAGCCTAACTAAACCACACTATGGATGTGTATAATCTTTACCTTCCATTTTGAAGCTTGCTAAAATCAATATTTTCAAGAGATGGTGCTGCACTAGCAGATGAAATAACTGCAGAAGAAATGTCAAGTCAGGGGAAAGGCCAAAAAGCATAACTAGTATTAAATTTATACGTGACTAGAGGAAATCGAGTTGAAATAATCAATATTTTCACGGCCAAAATGGCCATGGAAGTATAACTAAAAATGACTGAAAATGCATGATTAGAAGGACAAAAAATATGCAATTTCCAGGATAACAGAAAAGTTATGTTTTTGTTGAGATCAACCTAAACAGTTAGAGTCTAGAGCAGACCATTGCAACAAATACTTCCTCGATTCCGTGAGCCACTCTGGTATTTTGCCAAGGAGCGCAACTGCATGGGTGATATGCCAGTCCATGCCAACTTCCCCCGTTGATAGGGAAGTGAGTCGCGCATGTTAGGGGCAAAACAGTCATAGCGGTAATGGGTGACCAACTGCCTATTCTGTTGGCAGCATTGTGACACAAAAACATTTTGAACAATCTTCCCTGATGTTGCTGCATACAAATTTGCACATCTTATTAGATCTATAATTTCTGTGAGACTATCCGAGAAATTAAAATGAAACTATTTCAATGCTATTGATAGCATTTATTCCTCAACAGTTTTTAAAAGCTTTAGTTAAATTAGTTTCATGTAAAAACTAGTTAACAACTACAGAATTTTATAGTTTCAATGTGAAGTGCTCCAGCTACTTACTAGCAGATTCTGAAGTCTATTATTCTTTTTTTTTTTTTTGCTAACTCTGAAGTCTATTATTCAAGCATATAATTTTATGATCAGGCTAAATTCAATTAGAGGACAAAATTTTGGAGATTTTGAAACTGAGTTCTCCTATAAATGGTAGCTGCATCCATCCTTAGTACGCTAATAATTTGCAAATGTCTAGATGAGAATTTACTCTTGGCGCCTTACGAGGTTTCAGAAAAGAATGTTAAAATAAGAATCATTCCCTTGTAAAACATAAGACATCCAGTAACTTGTTGAGCAGAACAATGCGAATGAGTTCTGTAGTCGAAGTAATAGTGAAGCAGTAGAACATGAAGTTCAAGTTCAACACCTCCCTTTTTTCCCTTCTTGCAATATCAACCACCTATCTACGCTCAACATCAATCATCTTCCATGGGAACCCCCCCCCCTCCCAAAAAAAAAAAAGAGTGAAGAAGAATAAAAAGAGGAAAAAATGAACGGGAAAATTTTGTATGAAATCTAAATTCTAAAGAATTTGACATCAGCTCAACTGCTAGTCGAGACTATAAAATATAGTGAAAGAATGAACTTCACGTTTCTAAGGTGACGATTATCAGTAACATATGATCAACTGATTCCGATTTGAATAGTGGGCATACCAGGAGAGATCCCACTTACACGTTATGATTCGATCTCCATGGATGGATTCCTGAATAACGACGAATTGTCCATGTTGGTTTGTATCTTTTTCTCGATAGGTATTGGGTTTGCAAATTCAGGATCCCAAGTTTAAGCATGCTATAATATAATACCCATGGGGTGTCAGTAGACTGATACTTTCAGCAAGTACGATATCGTTAAAATGTATCGGCCATGTTACACAAATATAGTATAAATCATGAAAGCAAAAATGAAACCGTTTCAGCTTTCAGGCGAAAGATGAAATGGACGAATTCATTTACCTGCCATTTGACGAGTCGAGCTAAGAAACTTGCAATTTTACCAGCAAAGCGAGCGCAACGGATACAGAGGGATAAAGATAGGTCACAGCGACGAATGAACGAAGAACCGGAGAGAAGTCAGAGAACCGAACGCGCTGGACGGGGGAAAAAATACCAGAAGATATAAGGAATGCGGAGCGGAAGCATAGATTTTCTCAAAAAAAAAAAAAGGAAAGAGAAAATGATTTTAGTGATGATTCGATGTTTTTTTTGGGTAAAAAGATGATTCGATGTTGATGATCTCATAGAATACGCCGTGACCACCCTAATGCGTTTATTATTCATCGCCATCGGTAGAAAATCTTCTACCTTTTTTTTTTCCATCCAACGAGTGGATATAGACACGTAGGGGGGAACCAATGAAATCACACGCATTAGATCCACCGGACTAACGGACTTTATATTACCCAAGTCTCTAACAAACGCTGCGTGCGCAGAGTCCACCTAACGCTCGTAAAACCGGAGTAGGTATGTTGCCGCTTGCCACCACGTGTTTCTGTAAAGGGATATTTGCACTTAGAACTTGGAAGAACCTATTCAACAGACGCAACGTGGCTCTCCTTCGAAACGATTTTTTTTTTTATTTTTGTAAACAACTTATAAATGTTACCGTCAAAAAAGAATCAGAATATTAATTTATCTACCAAAACAGCCATGGCATCTACCAAAACAAAGAGCTTGGCATCTTCCTTATGTGTCACGATCCACTAAACCAAAACTAGCAAGACAATTATCACTCAAGAAATAGCCATCCACATTTATATTCATCCAAGGTTGAACCGACTTTGTCCAAAAAAAGGGAAAGGACCCGGGGATCTCTAGAAAGGGGCTGATTTGGTTTCAACTTCCTCATTATTTGGCGTATTTCCTTCACTACTTATTTGGATATGTTAATCGCAAAACTTGGGTTAGGGATCTCATTTTTAAAAATAGCATTGTTTCGAGCCAGCCATATACCCCACAACAGTCTTACAAAGAAGGGAAGCAAGGTTTTTTTTTTAAGCCATCTGCACATTAACACCCACTTTTTTAACCACTCCTTAAACTAGTATTTTGGTTCAACTCATTAGAACTAAGCCCAATGCCACTCCCAAGCCAATCACTTCGAGCATGATCACATCTTAACATGGCACGCATAAGCATTTCATTTTCATAACCACAAATCTTGGAAATTGGATTAGAAGTAGCCTTTTTATTAACCAGATTATGTGCAACTATCACCCCATTGTGACAGCATTTCCACATGAATGCTTTGATCTTTGGTTCTATCTATAAAGACCATATAACTTGTCATAGGAATCTCTCATCTTCTTGTCCTAGACCATCCTGCTCAATAAGAGGGGGGCCATTGAGGTTTTTTGCCTTAAAATAAGTCAATTTAACATTAAACTTGCCATTTCTAGAGGGAAGCCATACCAGTCTATCTGTGACACTCAAAAGCATTGGTAAGAGCCATCTCAAATCTTGACCTTTTCACCATAACCAATGCTCCAAAAAGCACTCCTCCAAAATACTTTTCCACCCCCACAACCCACTACTAGGAAAATCTGTAGTCATAAAGTTTTTATTCTTCTTATACTTTGTTATAATCACATTGGCCCAAAGATTATCCTCACCAAAGCAATCCTCCATATTAGTTTATCTATATGCCTTGTTAAACAATTTAGGATCCCTAAAAACCACAATCCCCATTCAATTTATTTTTACTAATCGCTAGTTGTTTCAATGATTTTTGTTACTTTTTTCAACTGTACACCACCAGAATTGCCTTTGAATCTTTTTTATCTTGTTACAAATGGTCTTTGGGATAAAAAAAAAAGGACATACAATAAGAGGGGATAGTAGTTGCCACTGATTTGATCATGACTTTTTCCCTGTATGGTAAAGGTATTTACTTTGCCAGCTATTTGTTTTGTCCTCTACCCTATTCAATAAGAAATCAAAGACCTATTGTTTTGGACTTGCTTATTTGGAGGTGAAGACCAAGGTATATAGAAGGTTTTGCCACCCTTCTCAAGTGGAGACTTCTAGCAACTAGCTTTTATATTTTTTGGGTGTATATTTGAGTTAAACTTGACTATAGATTTTTCAATATTCACTTTTTGGCATGAGGACTGCTCATATAGTCTGATGATATCTAGAATTTTATGACCCTCCTCCAAACCAGCCTTGGTAAAGATGTAGCTATCATATGTAAAACAAAATATAAAAGAGAAATTATGGGACTTTACTGATTTAGCTTAACAATAGAAATTTTACCATTCAAAACTAACTTATTTAGGAGCGATGAGAAAACATTAGAGCACAACAAAAACAAGTGTGGGAAAATGGGATCACCCTACCTAAGACCCCTCTCAAGCCTCGCTTTTCTACTTTGAGTTCCATTTATTAGAACTTAATAAGACATTGAGGATACTAAATTCATTATCCAACCTATCTATTTATACCTGAAGCCCAATTTTTCCATTACCTTTTGGAGAAATTGCAACTCCACCCTATCATAGACCTTACTCATATCCAAATTTAATTGCCATGAGACCTCTCTTAGCTTTTGTCTTCTTCATATGGTGAAAATTTTCATGGGCTAGCAAAATATCATCCCCTATATATCTATTCCGAAGGAAAGCACTTTGATTTATTTATTTATTTTTGGAAGCTAGAGGGTTCAATGATCAAATTTATCTGTTAAAAACTTCCAGTTGTGTTGATTCATGCTAGCATTGCTCATTAAATATTGGAAATGACAAACAAATTCAATGGATCCTGTTAAGAAATGACAAACACCCTTTCTCATAGTCAAAAATGTTTTTTTATTCTTTTGTGCAATAAAAAAAAGTGAATATGTTACAAAATTCAGTCAATGTAGTTAAAATAAAGGGCATAACAAACATGTAAGATTCAAAATAACAAAAATAAAATAACAAAATTGTTAGATTCAGCCAATGTAATTAATGTCCATTTTAGTATTTTACTTATTTTTTAGGTTAGCATCCATTGTATCTGCTTTAATCTATGTTTCTTTGGTTTGTTCTCTTGGTTTTTGTTTTACTTTTGGAATAAAATAATTTAGGGAGGGTGTTTCTCAGTGTTTTAAGACTTGGACTAGGCTAAAAACCGGAATGTTGGCCCCAATTTTACCGGTTAATCGGATGGTTTTCTCGTTTAACTTGCCAAAATTGTCATTTAACCAGGGCTCGGAAAACCATTACTTTATAGATTTCATGGTTCGACCGTTCGATCTAGGCCGAGCCTAAAACACCAATCTATCCTTGTTCAAAGAGTGACATGGGATTTTTAATATTTCTAGACTTTAAAAAAAAAAAAACATTCAAAACGAACAATCAAATGGTTCCTAACAAGATACCCTATTTTCAGTGTGGGCAAATTTCTTAAACTACCCCTAATGTTTAGGAAATTGACTAACTATACCCCTACTATTTCAATATTGTCTTAAAGTACCCTTACTGTTTATGACAATTGTCACACAGCTCCCTTCTTGTTAAGTCTCCGTTACAGACCATTTACACGTGACTTTACGTGTTTGATTTAATGTTAAATTATACCAAAAATATCATTTGACAATTACCGCACATCCCCTGGGATGCGGAGTTCGTAGCATTTCCTGCAAATCATATTGTCCATATTGTATTTCCAAGCCAAAGCCATCAAAGAAGGATTGATAATTCCTCCACAAAGCCTTACAACCAGATGCAAATGTGGACTATTTCTAAATGCTATAGTCAACAAGGGTTTGGCTATCTTCAAGCTACTTTTTTTTTTTTTCTGCAAAGATCACCATTTTTCTATTCAAACCAACAGTGGCAGCTAACCCCNCCCCCCCCCCTTTCTCCCCTATCCTATTTTCCCATTTTCATTTCCATACTTCTTTTCTTCCATTTTTTTGGCCATTGTTCATCATGTTTAGATGAGAGCAACGAATCCTCAATGGTGATTTCTCTTAGGCTCCGTTTGGTTTGTGTGATGGGGATGAGAAAAAAGGAAATATTCAAAAAATATTCATTGTTCTCTTATTTGTTTTGAGGGAAATAGAGGGATGGGATGAGAAAAAGGTGGGATGCGAGATCCCAAAATTGTGGAATCGAGGTCGCACCAAAACAGTGCGACCTCAGTGGAAAAAAACTCAAGAAACCATTTTTCATTGCCTTCCAGCGACGATGAACAGTGTGACCTGATCTATTCTCCATTGTTTTCTTCACCAAATACTAACAATGAACCACTGTTCATTGCCTTCCCCATTTGAACAGAGGAGGCGGCGGTGGCAAGAGAACTAGGCAGCGGCGATCTGCTACCTTCCCTATTCTCTGTCTCTCCCTCCATCTCCATCTTCTATCTTTTCCTTCACCTTCTTCTTCTTCCTATTCTTCACATCTTCCTCCCTTACCTTCTTCATATTCTTCCTGTCTTCCTCCCTCACCTTCTTCTTCTTCTTCCTGCGAAGAACCAGGTCATGATAGTGCTTTTTCCTATTATTTTCCCATATATAAAACCAAACACTGAAAAGTTAAATTTTTACACTTTCCCATCCCATCCCATTCTATCTTTTCCCATCCCACCCAAATATTCCCACAAACCAAACAGAGCCTTAGTCTTCCCCATCATCACCATCGGCGAGCATTGATAAGGTATGGTTATTATCCAAAGATAAGCTCATCGATCTCCTCTAGGAAGCTACCGATAAGCATACTAACATCATGGACCGTATTCACAAGGTCACGGATGTGAACCCTGTTCATTGGCAGCAACTGAATCCCATGTTCCTCTTATCCACACTTTCCCACCCACTTCATCCGTTTTTATCTTTTGACAGCACCAGTCCAGATGCATCATTACGACGACTTGTCCTTTTATTATTATAAAACATGCCAATAAAATTGTAGAGTTTGACAAAAGCTGAACCTAGACCTATTGTATTCAGCCTAAACTCGTTAAATTGGAATTGTTGCCAATGACATTTGAGATGAATTACAATAACTGACTATGAATTCTAAGAATCATACGAGTAAGCTGATATCAAGGGCTTTTACGTAGTTTTAATAACAGTGAGGATTCATGATGGATTGATTTGTCGTGCATAACTGAGATTGCCGGGGCAGATCTCTCTGCAAGTTGCACAACCGTTCCCTCTCTCTGTTTAGGGAGAGCTTCTCTCTCGCATTTCTTGAGGTTCTATCAATCTCTCTATTGGGGATTTTTCCTTTATCCTCTTTTTCTTTTCTTGTTTTTTTTTTCTTCTTTTTGTAGGCGTTTTGACAAGGGGGTTACTTACTCTTGGATCCTATATTGGGCATTCGATACTGGTGGGTGTTGCTTTACGTTTTGCCGTTCATGGTTAAGTCCATACGTGGTTCTCCGGCAGAAGCAATTCATGGTCAGCTCCATTCGTAGTTCTCCGGAGAATGCCATTATGGAAGGCAGTTACAGTATCTGGTATTGGTTGTAATGTTTGGGGCTCTGTCATCTTTTGCAGATCTACCCCAACCATGCTATTACTGGCTCTTTGCAATATCTTTTGGGAACCTCCCCTATCTTTTCTCTCGCCGTTTGTGGTGGATTGGAGTTGTGCTTTTCTACTTTTATTGGTGATTTAAATACACCTTTATTTGATTGCAAAAGTTCATTTGTTCTCCTACATCCATTTATATATTTTGTTCTTATTAAGAAAATGTATTTGGGTTCTGATTGGCCTTGTTGGCAATTCTATGTACTTGTATCAATTTCTTGAATGAATGGAATATGTTTTAAGCCTTCAAAAAAATTTGAGATTGACGGAGAATTTGAAGATTTAAGATTGGGCCCACCCACACTATCAACCCCAACGGGAGACTGCTCATCATCACAAGAATAAAGAAGAAAACGAAGAAAAACAGGGGAAAATCAAATTTGATGGAAAAATGTTCAAACTAGTAAACATGTCAGGTGTGCACTTCTCCCTTGTTTCGTCACCGCTTCTAGCGGTGGATTTAAATGCCTCCCTCTCTCTCTCTCCCTCCCTCTCTTCTACTCTCTCGTATTTTTCTCTGGTTCTCCCTGCCTCCCTCATTCCTATCCATCCCTCATTAGACCGTATCCAAGAATCGATCATATGATGCTAAGTTGCCAACGGTGATGTAGTACCCGTCCCTCATTAAACAGTGGTGGAATATAGTGTTTGTCATAGGATAGTAGCCGAAATGCTAGAGAAGAGGGTAGACATGCTTTCTGTTTGAACAATCTGAATCCCAACGGAGATAGGGTCGTGTGAACATACCATTAAATGCTGGTAATATTGACAACATTTCTAAATTCTAATTTGGAGAGATGACGGTGATGATTCACCGTTGCATCTCCAAACAGAAGTTGCAGTGGTTGTCCTTTCTTAACATAATGGTAAAACCCAATATTTTTCGAACCGTTGTTGACTCGGATGGTCAGACCGCTCAGTCTGGAAATTATTTAGGCAATCGGTTCCGTTTTATTTCAAATCCGGTATTTGGTTAAAAACTGTTGAATTAGTCAATGAACTGTTGATCCGAACGGTTTGCGTTTTATTACTTGTGACAAGTTTTATCAAAACAAGAATGAAAAAAGAAGATCTCTCAGATATGAAATCTACTGGAGAGAGACGTGTGAGACAATGAGAGAGATTTCACATTTAGAGATTTGGGAGAAAAATCTAGACTCTATACGGCAAATCTACAAGAGAGAGAGAGATATGAGATTGAGAAATCTCAGATCTACTTTCATTGCCAGTTTGCCACCATTGCCACCGCTATAATTCACCATCGCCATTGCCGTTACCGTCACTATTGCCGCTGTAAGTTGCCCTTATCGTAGCCGTTGCAGTCTGCACGTCCTCCTCCTCTTCTTTATTCTTTTTATTCTTATCTCGTATTCAAACCTTATTTATATGCATCCTACCCTAATATTAAGATGTTCAGACCGTTTGACTCAAATGGTCAAACCGCTGACCTAGAAATCAATGGCCAACGGTTCTGTTTTCGGGTCGATTTTTAAAATCTTGGTAAAAACAACTTTTCGTGCGTCTCTTTACGATTTAACGATGGCGAATTCTCAAAAACAGTAGGGGTTTTTAATACAATACAAAACAGTAGGGAAATGGCCAAATGATGGTGGCTCAGTTGGTAGGTTCTCCGACTCGTTGGAGTAGAGACCTGGGATCAAAAACAGTAGGGGTTTTTCTGCAATCTGAACTGCAGTAAATCTGTGCAAGAAGGAAGAAAAGATGATTGAGGTGGTATTGAATGATCGACTGGGGAAGAAGGTGAGGGTGAAGTGCAACGAGGATGATACAATCGGCGATCTCAAGAAACTTGTCGCAGCACAGACGGGTACAAGAGCCGAGAAAATTCGTATTCAGAAATGGTACACTATCTACAAGGATCACATCACCCTCAAAGACTACGAGATCCACGACGGCATGGGTCTCGAACTCTACTACAGCTAGGTTTGTTTGATTTTCTGCGAGCGGCTATTGGAACATAACAAGTTATACATGCCTTAAATTGAATTCTGTTATTTTGTTTATTTTCATTGGTCTGATGCTGTTGGTCAGTAGTCCATATAGTTTTCGCAAGAGTGGCGTTCATCTGATGGGTTGATCTGAAATCGTGTTTTTTTTTTCTTCCTCTGGTATATGTTTTCATCAAATTCCTGTGGAATACGAATACATGCACAAATTCCAAGTGGCTTCTGTAGTATATCTTTTGGTGCGTTCGTGGTTATATGTATGAACAAATTCCAACTAGGTTTCTTTGATTCCATGAAAGTTACATTCACTGCGGTTCAAAATCTGCCTTTTGCCACCGTGTTATGACCACTAACCCCCTTAGAAACTGGGGTGGGGACTGGAAGTCTATATGGTGCTTGAGTTTATGTCAGTGAACTGGTCACTACACAAGTCTGGAGAAGGCAACCCACACAAACTGAGTTGCCAGCCCTTAACAAAGGTAAAAAAATGAAGGCATTACAATCATCAGAGAAATTAAAAAACCAAACCCCTTTAAAATCAACCAGAATCATTGCCTAAGAAGTGTTCTTTCAATGGATTCTATCACTACAGTACATTGTATTCCTGATGCCTTCCTTCAAAAATCTTACCATTCCTTTCTTTCTGAAAGTTCCAGCAAATTGCAAATAAAAGAATAAGACCCCACATGATACTGCCTCTTTTGTTATTTTTCTTTGGAGCCAAATGCTGAAACCTTTAAAGCAGTTGAGCTGGCAATCCTTTCCATCTTGCTTTTATGCTTCCACACCAATCCAAGCAAGCCTTGTAGTTTGGAAACGGTTTTTAGCCATGTGTTTACTCCATGTGTAGTTTGTTAAGAAAAAATTGTCATTTACAAGCAACATTACAGAATGACTGTTCCTATTTCTATATAGTTAGATCATCCATAAACAATTAAAAAGATGTTTGTTGAATGCAGTTCATTGATGTATATCTAACTAGGACTTCACTATTCTTATGCTAATGCTCTGTTATGCATTCTTTTGATCATGTCAATATCCATTCAAAACTTGTTTTTCTCGTTCGGAAAGCATCACCTTACCTTTTTTCACCAAAAAAAAGGAAAAAAAAACTATTGTTTCTCTGACATCCTCCTTTTAACCTAATATAAACAATATGTTTTTTTTCTTCTTCTTCAAAATGTTCTCAAAATAATAACATAGCCCTGCTTTATTATTCTCCATGGCAAAAACAAATAGATTTTATGATATGACCTCTAAATATAACCTTCTTTTATTTCTATTTGGATAATATTCTGATTTGAAGCCTTTCCTATCTTTATTTCTCAAAGTGCCTTCAATCTTTAGACCTTAATAATCTAAAGTCATGGATGATCAAATGTTAAGGATTTCTTTTGTAATCAAGCTTAGACTATGATCCTCATTTAATAATGTTATAAAATAACCTCTCTTGGGAGAAGGAAGCTACAATTTAACTTTGATGGGTGCTGTCTTCGAAATCTTGGGACTTCCAAATTGGGGGGAGTGGTTAGGGGTAGGAATGGCAACGGGGTGGGGTGGGGATGGGGAGCCATCCCCATCCTCATCCCTACGAAAATCCCTATCCTCGTCCCTGCCCCGCTAGCAGGGACAAGGTTATCCCCGTCTCCATCCCCACTCCCTGTGATTTTTTTTTATGATGTCAATCATTTTGTTTTTGTTTTTTATTTCATTTAAAAAATAAAAAATAAAATGGTTAGAATTTGCAATCCTATTAGAAAAGATCCAAATATATTCAAACATATTCAAACATATTCAACCATATTTTAAAATATTAATATAAGCAGGGATCCCCACGGGCGGGGACGGGGGCCCCACAGGGTGGTTAGTGCTCTCCCTATCTTCGAACTATCCTTGCCAACAGGGATGATTGGATGAAAATTTCATTAAAATGGCGATCAAGATTCACTAATTAGGTTGTCTCCTATAAGCGGGCGATGGGGAGCTAACACCGACGATGGTGAACAAGCAAAAGTTTTCGGAGGGCCCTATTTGGTTACTTACACCTACACAAAGACTAGGTAGGAGGGGTATTGGTTGTTCCTACTCGCGAAGGAACGGAGAGCAAGGTGCTCTAGACAGAAAAGGTAAAGGGTCTTTTGCGGAAGCTCTCAAGAAGAACATTTGGACGACGGAAGGCGAGGTAGAAGTACGGGCTAGGAAAGAAGTTTTTTTCGTTGTGATGGAGATTTTGAAAGGGGAATGTAGAGAAGATGGGCCGAATGGCCCATAGGCTGTCATTTCATGTTATGTTATGTTTCTCTCTGTTGTGGGCCTTATTCTGGGCCCATACTCTATATTGTTCTGTTTTTGCATTTTCCTGCCCACTCAAGGGCCTCTCTGTAATTTGTCAAAGATTAACTTATTAATAAGATGTTTAGAGTGTTAGAGAGAGGTTATGTTCGAACCTCTTACTCTCTAACACTCATTGCCGCCRGCTCTCTCTTCTCTTCCTCTCTTGTTTGTTTATTTTCTGGTTTGCATCTAATCTCAAACAGTTCCATACATCAAGTGGGCTRTTTTTCAACTTGGTATCAGAGCGGGCCATTGCTTGGCGTGTCCCTCATGTGGTTCTAGTTCAACCAACTACATGAGGAGGTTCTAGGGCTGAAAGTTTACAGTCATCYGCYTRGTTCTTGGAGGTYATTGGAGGGTGCCCAAGTTTCTATACACTTGGAGAAGGGTTCGGTKACCAGGAAGAATCAGAGAGCAAGTTGTTTGGCCTGATTTGAAATCAGAGAAAAAGAATTTCGAAGTTATCTCAGAGAACAAGTGTTCGGCCTAGTTATAGTTCAAACCAGAGACACTCTTGCTGTAAGTCTTTTCTCAGTCCTTTGCTGGGTTATTTTTTGTTGTTTGGGAGGACTGTTAAAGCATTCAAAGCCCACCTCCATTCGGTCCACTGTTGCTGGACTGATTCTACTCAGAAATTTCTAGGTTGTTTTGGAAGTGCTATTCGGCTGATTATTGGACTGCCAAGCTGCTGAAACTGATCTAAAACTAAGTGGTACTAGTCTCATCTTCATCCCAGCCTCTTCTTGGACCTATACTGAACACTTTGAAGTGGTTTCTTCTAGTTAACAGTAGGCTGTTAACTACTGCACACTGAGTGTTCGACAAAAGGTCTCTTAAGGACTG